ACAGAGTGAGCAGCACCCCGTACACTTTATGACTTAATCTCTAAATCACACACCATCACTTTCACCTTTTTCTGTCCTTTTGAAGAAGTGCAGCCCACAGCCAACGGGAGGGGATTAGACAAGGGCAGGTATCTGGGGACTCTCTTGAAGGCTGGCTACCACAGTGAATTAAATCCTGAGATGAAGACTAACAGAATGTTTCAAGTAAGGGATAATAAAATCACTAAGATTCTATATTGCAGATTTATGAAAGAGTCTAATAGAGTTACAGCTTAACTGCAAGATAGTTTTTTTTTTAATAAATTAAATTTTTTATTTATTTTTTAATTTTTATTTTATTTTTTTAATCTTTGTTCTTTGGCAGATTGCTCAGAGTGAGTCCTGAATCCTTATAAATAGTTAGAACTGCTTGAATAAGAAACTCAAAAATGGGAATTCCCTGGTGGTCCAGTGATGAGGTGATTTGGTGCTTTCACTGCTGTGTTTGGGTTTAGTCCCTAATCAGGGAACTAAGACAAGACTCAGCCAATAAAAAAAGAAAGAAAAACAAACACAAAAATTAAAATTGGACTCAGATGATATATTCAGGATTGATTTCCACTCTCTGCTTTTCATAGAAGTTTTTAAAAATGTCTTCCTATCTGGTTATTTATTAAAATGGATATTTCAGGACCCATAAATTTTTCTCTGAAAATTTAGTTGCTTCTGTAGAATTCTTATTTTCTAGATATTCCAGATTTCAAAATTGTTTTTAATTCTAGAAATTTTTAATAAATTTTAATTTTAGGTAGTTAGGTTTAATTTCTAGTTTTATTGTTAGTGTAATTATAGAATGTCATTTGTGTTGGTCTAATTACTATTCTTTTTAACACAGAAGTTTGATCATTATTTTTAATATGTCTTAAGTTCTGTTAGGACAAATCAAATACCAGTGGTCCTTAAGAATTTTATTAAAGAATACTCTTGTCTATTTATTCCTTCAAATGAATCTCACAGTTTTTCTAAATACCTCACTATCCCATAAAGATCAAAATTAGTATTACATTGTCTTTTACATTAGCACATTTTTATTCTAGCTTTATTTACCTTGATGAAGGTGTTGCTGTTTTCTCTCTTCTTCATGATTTTATATGAAAATAGGTTTTGTTTAGATTCATGATTGTATTTAGGTTTCTTATCTTTCAGATTCAGATGCAGCTCTCTCCCAAGGAGATGGTATTTTGATGTGCCCTGGTTGCAGTGAACAAATGTTTCATCATTTTCTTCATGCACACTTGGATGGGTGCATGTCATCTGCATTTCCCCTTGTTGCATGTGATTCATGCTTAAACAAACATATTTTAAGGGAGTAATCAGTTTGAATAACTGAACAACGGAAATATGATTAAAAGAAACTCAAAGTCACATACAGTGCAGAAAGTAAATCTGTCAAAATTGCAACTGAGCCCATTTGTATATTGTAACTTTCTTAGTAAGTATGTTAAGGTTTTTATTAATGCCTTTAAAAATAAATAACTTTTTAAAAAAAAACTTGTTTATCTGAATGCTTTTCTTTGGAGTACATATGGTAGGTTGGAGCCTATGGAAAGATGTAAACAGAACTACTCAGGCTTTTTTGGGTAAAGGATAGTATTGTAAAGATACAACCAGTTGTAAAGCAATGTTGCTGATAACCCAAGGTTAGGGCAGGAAGCCTGTCTGAAGCGGAATGTCAGAGGACTGGGCCTGGCTGCTTGGGAACTAAGCCTGTGTTCTGTGCTTGGAAATCATACTGTCATTCTCCTGCAGCACTTTTCTTGTCTGTCTGCCCCCTCCACACCTTCCTCACTTACACTGCCTAACATGATTGCCCAAGCCGTTCTCTTCATCACCACCTTGCAGTTCCATCTACCATCCATTTGACTGTATCTATGTGAGTCTCTGTTCCAATTCTCTAGAGGTAGAACATAATACTGGTTTAGTTCAGTCTAAAGCATTGGTGTCCATAGCCTGAGATTCTCCCTAGTCCATTTAGCTGCAGGAGATGTTAATATGATAAGTGCTATTTCTTTTTTTTTTTTTTTTAAGTGCTATTTCTTTTAGAGGTTTTGCTTGAGCAAACTACATGTGCCTAGCATATTAGTATTTATTGAATAAGTGAATATTCAAGTGATTGATAAGTTTTACAGAATTTTTTGTACAGGGTAAGTAGAGTTTCATCATTTTTCATGACTAGCAGCTAATATATTGCCTAAAATGTGCCAGGTTAAATTTAGTTATGAAGGTAGCTTATTTGCTTTCTAAGAGTTTTGGATGTTACCTTCCTTAATACCTAATACGGTTGGAGAGTATTTGTAGGTTCAGGAAAGTCAGTAATTTCAGCAAATAGTTATTTGACTTTGTGTGAGGCAATCTTCTGCGTGCTTGGGAGCAACACAGATGAATGTTCCTGCTTACAGTTGTGGGAACTAGCTAGTAAACAAGTGACATTTATAGGGCAGTGAGAGGGTAACAAGCAGGAGGGCCAGGGGTCTCCAAATGGAGGAGATAGGCTGCAAGTGTCAGACATTTTTATTTCTCTTAGCAGCAGGACACAAACTAGTGATATTTTTTTTCCTTCTCTATACAAATGTAAAAGGAGGTTTCTCTTAAAATGCTGTGTTGCCATGACACCTGGTTTCACCTGAAGCTAACTANCCTGGGTGTTCATTGGAAGGACTGATGCTGAAGCTGAATCAATACTTTGGCCACCTGATGCAAAGAGTTGACTCACTGGAAAAGACTCTGATGCTGGGAGGGATTGGGGGCAGGAGGAGAAGGGGACGACAGAGGATGAGATGGCTGGATGGCATCACCGACTCAATGGACATGAGTTTGAGTAAACTCTGGGAGTTGGTGATGGACAGGGAGGCCTGGCGTGCTGGGGTTCATGGGGTCGCAAAGAGACAGGACTGAGCAACTGAACTGAACTGATACAAATTTAAGAGGAGGTTTCTCTTAAAATACTATGTTGCCATTAATGACACCTGGTTTCACTTGAAGTTAACTATTCTCAAACCTTGAGTTAACCAATGCATTTTTCTTATGGAAATGTTTGTCTTAAGCTATGTTAATGTGCTAGGCATTTACCCCAGACTGTCTTCAAGTTGGTTTGCCTAATGGCTCAGAACCTGCTTTACAAACCAGTATGTTATACTCAGATATTGTTGCCCTAATTTATGTAAACAAAACTATTTGTATGGTAATCTGCCCTTCTACAAGATTCAAGTCAATCGTTCTGTGGCCTGGGATGAATCATCTGGTGCCAAGATTATCCAAAATGCATCTTATGGATGAGGGGCCTGGTGCCATTCTGAGTTTTAAGACATTCCTTTCTTCCATTAACAGACTGCTAGTGGTTATATAACATCCAGCTGAAGACTAGCAGGGGGGTACTCTTTCTGCCCCCTTCTGATGCCTATGTCAGAAGCTTTCTCTATCTCCTTTATATTCTAATAAAACTTCATTACACAAAAGCTCTGAGCGATCAAGCCTCTTCTCTGGCCCTGGATTGAATGCTCCGAAGGCCAAGAACCCCGGCGTCTTTTCGTTCAGCAACAACCTTTCAGTAGCACATAGTGATTCATGTCATAGAGAAAAGGGAAATAGGAAAGGGAGTTGGGCAGATGGGGATTGGAAGCAGGGACACTTTTTTTAAAAAAAGAACAGGGAACTCCTAACTGAGGTGACATTTGAATAGAGATCCAAAGAAAATGAGAGCCATTCACGTATGTAGAGAACGAACTTCCCAAGCAAAGAAAATGACAGGTGCAGAGGCCCTAAGACAAGAGTGTTTACCATGTTCAGGGGACAGCAAAGAAACCAGCTTGGCTGGAGTGGAAGTAAAGAGAGATGAAAGAAATGGAAGTAAGAGAGAGGTAGCCAGGGGTCAGGTCATATGTAGACCATTGCAACATCTTCAACATTTCTTGGAGCTAGGAATTCATTGGAAACTTATTGAACCAAAGGTATTGTGTGATCAGATGCATAAGAAGAGGCTTCTGGGTGAGTTCCTTGGTGGTCCAGTGGTCAGGACTCTGCACTTCCATTATAGGAACACAGGCTTGATGCCTGGTTGGGGAACTAAGATCCCATACGCGGAGTGGTGTGGCAAGAAAAGCTTCTGACTGCTTTGTTGAAAACAGACCAGAAGTTTCTAGAAAAAGGCTGAGTAGGACTTGGATCTGAGTGTATTTTCATTTTTAATAGTACATGTACATGGTGCAGAATTTAGATGATTATATGTAAAATAAAGTAAACCTCCCTACCCTGTCCACTATCCTGCCCCTCTTCCTGAAATGCATCATTAATACCAGTTTCTTGTGTATTTAGGAAGTTTTTCTATGATAGTATGAACCTGAAAGTTCATACATGCTCTCAATCTTAAATTTAACTAGGTTCTGTTTCCTTCAGGTCAGAACTATGAAATGTAGTACTTGTACCACTTGCGACGTTATCGCCTTCATGTCCAAATCCAGCCTTCACTGCCTGCGCTGCAGTGATGGGTCTGGACCTCGTCACTCCCCTACCTTGTCAGCGAGGAGCTCTGTCCGTAGAGGGCGCTGGTGAGACAGGAGGGGCGGGGTCTCCGAGCCCCGTGTCCCGCTCCAGCAGGGACCTGGAGCTCACCGTCTACACCCTCGTGCAGGACCTGGCTTCAGCAGTGCCTAGGGCCAGCAGCACTTAGCACCCCCATATGGAGGGCTTCCTCTGGCACCCCCAAAGTTACCACTGTTACAGTTTTTCTTGTATGTTCTTGCAGAAATTCTTAATGCATCTAGAAACATGAGAGTACATTTTTTAAACAAATAGAATCATACCATATATACAGTCCCTATGTTTTGTGGTAAAAATAAAAATTAGTATAAAAGAATGGTTGATTTCCAACTTACACTAGCATTATGAATTCGGAATGGCCTTCTAGCCATTCAGAAAACTCCGCTGATTAACGAATAGTGAAATTTTGGACACAGGCACAGATGTAGACATTGACATCAGATGTAATACCTTGAACAATATAAAGTCACTGACAAAATATGTTCTTCAGCAAAGCGGACACATAAGATTTTAAGGCCATTATAAATGTATACCTTGGATTCTCAAACATCTAAAAAAAACATTGATACTCAGTGTTCTTAAAAATGCAGATTTAGCTAATTTCCAATAATGCCAAACTCTATTCTAAACTTCCTGCTTCTACAATAAGCACTGAATCAAAGGCCTCTAGAATATGAGCATTTGCCCTAAATCCTATTTCTTCTGCAGTAGATAAAAGGAAGGTATACATAAACCATACCACACTAAATTAAATGTACAAAAACAGATGCTACAAGGATTATGGAATATCTCTTGTCTCACCTATGTATGAAACTGATGCAGTCCTTAAATTATCCATTTTGTAATAACTTGAATACTCCTTTCATATTGTGGCTTTACGATGGATACACCATTCTCCCCAGCCCTCCTCGTGGCTTTGTTACCGTTTACCGTAGTTAGCCTGAAAGCCCTATATGACCTGAGTAATGGAGAGTTGGATGTGTAAATTTGATTAAAGGTCTGATTTTTGATTGGGGAGGATCATTTAGGGACTTCAGTCACTGGTAATACTGTTTCTTAAAGCTCAGTAATGGGTAAGCAGGCTGTTTGGGGTTTTTTGTATTACACGCTTTATGCATTTTATTCTTTGTATGCAGCATTTAATAAGTTTTTGGATAATTAACATTATCCAAAATTTTATCCAACAGTTTTTAGAATTATTGACAAAAATTTTCTTGATTTAGTAGATTTTAGCTAATATGTTCCTGAATGATTGGAGAGAATGGCAGTATCCATTTCCAGTAAAGGGTGAAATGTTTAGACTGAGGGTGCTTTTTTATTGTGGCAGTAAGTAGTGTGATGTCTTCTGCATCCAGGAGCCAACTTAACATGCTAAGTTTCATGAGGCTTGGCAGCCTTAACACACATTGACTCAAAGACTTGACTGTTGTGGCCTGAACTTTGATACATTCTTTGAAATGCCTGGAAATAATTAACTCTTGCAAGTTGGGCAGGTTGTCCAGTGTTTGAAAGAAGTTTCTGTATCCTTCCTCTGTAATCTTGTGGTTGGCTGAAAAGTTAAGATGCTTGAGTTTCTGGAAACCTCCATTGATTGCTACCTTGGCTATAAATATAAAAGCAAAATATTTATGAGAACAGAATCATAGGGACTTCAATTTTAATACTGATAGGCTAGATTATTTGAACCCACCTCTTCTCCCACCATCACTTAAAATAGAAAATGCCCAATTTTAATAAAAACATATAAATTTAATAATAAATACATTAGGTTTACTTCTAATTAAAAGTATTAAAGATTAATAAATTACATTTTAAAAAACAAACTATATTTTCACAAGAGACACACTTTAAATGTAAGAACATAAAGTAAAAGTGATACATCTCTAAATAAAAAATATGGCAAAAGAATGAACAACTAAAATTAGAAAATATTTTGAACTGAATGAAAATGAAAATATGACACTAAAACGTGAGAGAGAGCTAAAGCCAAAGTTAGTGCTCTAACTATCCACCTCAGGACATTAGGATATTAAAAGGAACAAAAGAAGAAAGAATGAATTTAGAACAAAAATAAAACGCAAATTATATCCAAAGAAAGTACCAGGGGATAATAGAGATAAAAGCAGAGATAAATGAAAAATGTGTAGGGAAAAAGGCACAGGAGAACATACTGTGTAGGATTCCGTGACATATTTTCAAAACAGGTAAAATTAATCTATGGGGAAAGCAAGCGGCACAGTGGTCGCCTCTGAGAAGGAGGGGGATGCAGCGTCAGAAGGGACTCAAAGGAGGCTTCGGTAATGTAAAATCTATACTGTAATCTAACGAGTAGTTACTACCCCAGTATAAGTAACAAGACTGAAGTGTGTTCACTTGAAAATCCATTAAGTTGTATACTTACGATTTTGTACTTTTCTTTATGTGTATTAATTTTCAATTTAAAACAAAGTATATACCTGGCTGGATGAAGTCAAGCTGGACTCAAGATTGCTGGGAGAAATATCAATAACCTCAGATATGCAGATGACACCACTCTTATGGCAGAAAGTGAAGAAGAACTAAAGAGCCTCTTGAAAGTGAAAGAGGAGAGTGAAAAAGTTGGCTTAAAACTCAACATTCAGAAAACTAAGATCATGGCATCTGGTCCCATCACTTCATGGCAAATAGATGGGGAAACAGTGGAAACAGTGAAAGACTTTATTTTGCGGGGCTCCAAAATCACTGCAGATGGTGATTGCAGCCATGAAATTAAAAGACACTTACTCTTTGGAAGGAAAGTTATGACCAACCTAGACAGCATGTTAAAAAGCAGAGACATTATTTTGTCAGCAAAGGTCCATCTAGTCAAAGCTATGGTTTTTCCAGTAATCATGTATGGTTGTGAGAACTGGACTATAAAGAAAGCTGAGTGCCGAAGAATTGATACTTTTGAACTGTGGTGTTGGAGAAGACTCTTGAAAGTCCCTTGGACTGCAAGGAGATCCAACCAGTCCATCCTAAAGGAGATCAGTCCTGAATATTCAGTGGAAGGACTGATGTTGAAGCTGAAACTCCAATACTTTGGCCACCTGATGCGAAGAACTGACTCATTAGAAAAGACCCTGATGTTGGGAAGGATTGAAGGCAGGAGGAGAAGGGGACGACAGAGGATGAGATGGCTGGATGGCATTACCAATTCAATGGACATGAGTCTGAGTAAGCTCTGGGAGTTGGCGATGGACAGGGAGGCCTGGCGTGCTGCAGTTCATGGGGTCTCAAAGAGTCGGACGTGACTGAGCTGACTGATGAAAAGCAGTATGTGGAGGGTGTGTGGCCAGCTGTCTGAGACACTGCGGGTTAAGAGCGGACTTGAAGGTTTATACAGTCTCAAATAGGAGGCTATCTTTTACTCCCAAATCTGGCCAGAATGAACCAAAACTCCACAGAACATTAGAGGGAACATTATGATGGAGATAATGAGGAAGTGGGAAATGGGTTGAATATTTTTAGAGAGGAAAATGTTTTTAAAGGTATTTTGCAGCAGAAAGCTTGAGTAGTACCACTGGCTTTCATGTGAGCTGAGTTTATCTGAGGGTAGCTCACCAATTTCCACCACGCTGTCATCATCCAAAGTCTGGAAAAACTGGAGAACTTGGAGACACTGAAGATGCTGACACTGCTGGACAATCAGTTTGGCCATTTGATGAATCCCATCCCCAGTAGGAAGGATCAGTTCTTCCAGGTTATTTAAATAACCTAAAGCATAGGCTAATCAGAAGAGACAGAAAAAAAAAAAAAACTATGTTCTGTGTTCCCAAATAATTGTAATCCAAAGCCTCAAAATCCTGTACATTCTAGGAGGTTCCATGTATCATAGGGGCTGGAGAAAGGGGTCCGCCTACACCTTAATCTTCATTGCTGCTTCTAGACAACCAATCCTCCATCCTTCCCCAATCAGCTTCCTGCCCTGAAGTCCAGAAGTTCAGAATGGACTTCACATCCCCATTTCCTTTTTTTTTTTTTAAACCACTGGACCATCAGAGAATTCCCATCTGTTTCCTCTTTCAGACCAAAGCTTCTACTGGACTGGACTCTTTGTATTAATACTAGCTCCTCAATGCTTTTAGCCCCCTTCCTTTCTGTGATGCTGTCATCCTCAGCGATTTCTAGCACTAACCTCACAATCTACCACTCTCATAACTTGCCTTTTCACTTTGATCCCTCCTGAGCATGATACAGTTTAGATCACTTGATCCCCAGAAAACTCTATACTTCTGCGGCCTCATACCTGGACATGTTTTGAACACTTTTTAGCATAAAACAATGTAGCAGGCTTTTCCTTTCACTGTCCCATTTCTTACATCAGCCATTTCTCCAAAGACCCTGGTTCCTTTTAGGGAGGCCAGTATTTAGAAGTCAAGATCTGGGTAGTTGGTATGCTCATTACAACTAGGGTACTTTTGAATCCCTCTGTTGACCGAGCTGAGAGATGTATATACACGTATGTATAGTGAGATATACATATATGCCCATGTCTGCCTATATAGGTTGAAAACCATGAGTCCACAGCAGTATTTCCAATTCTGATTTAAGAGCTCAAAGTTCCTTCTAGTCTCCCTTTTCAACATTTGTGGGTGTCCCCGGTGGCTCAGACGGTAAAGAATCCGCCTGCCATGCAGGAGACCCCGGCTCAATCCCTGGGGCGGGGAAGACCTCCTGGAGAGGGAAATGGCCACCCCCTCTGCCCCTGATCCAGCCTCTGCTGCTCCAGGCCCCATCCCCCGCCCCTACACACAGCTGCCTCCAACAGATGGACAAAGGAAAAGCAAGAGATCCGGGTGCTCTGTAAGTGTGCTGAAGTTTGACAGCACTGCTGCTGTATGCTTCCCATCTCCACTGACTATCCTTACATTTTCCTGTGTTAAAAATAAGACAACAAGCTCCACGTCACCAAACCATGACTCTGACTACAGTTCTGGCTCCCCCAGAAATGGAACCCTATCAGCATCTGCCATCCCCATCGCCTAAAGGAAAGTAAACTTGCGATGACCGAGGAGCATTTTTGCCTACTTTGATCACTTGTCACTGCTCCCTTCTGCCTACTACAGCCTTTCATTTTGTACAGCTCCCCAGAGCTCCCCTCTGTCTGCTAGAGTGAAGGCTGTCTGATTCAGAAACATTTTTGTTTAAAAAAATCCTCAATTTTTTGAAATATGTTTATCTTCTAAGGCCTGTTAGGAATTTTTCCAGAGCATACATTGTTATTATAATCATAAAAAAAATTAGGTTGAAAGGTTAGTTTCTATAGTTATCATTTTGTTAAGTCTAGGTTTTCACATAGAGTGTTCATAACCTTAAAAGGTAGTTTTTCCTATATTCTGGAAAACTTTGAAACAACAGGCATTTAACTTGTTTGGAATGGGTACCTGGCAATGAAATTGCATAGTGCTATAACAAAAAATTAAGTATTCTAAGAAATGAATTGCTTTAAGAACATTGCTTTGAAAGACATCAAGTGAAATCAAGGCATTTGGAGGGTAAAAGTTGAGCAGCACTATCCCTCCCTCCTAATGACCAAGGCCAGCCAAAACATATTGTAATTTATTATAGCTAATGCAAAACAGAAGGATTTTGTGGAGGGAAAGAATCAAGAATAAGTAAAAGGCACTGTGTTATAAACATACCAAATTTTTCAGCTGTTTCCTTATCTGGAATATATTGGAGCCCAAGGTTTAATATCTTCAGAGAAATAAAATTTGGCAAAACAATGACTATAAAAGGGAAAATTAAAATTTAGTTATGTCAGCTACATTTCTTATACCAAAAAGTAATGTATTTATAAAGAGTATAAAGGTGCTTCCCTAGTAGCTCAGTTGGTAAAGAACCCGCCTGCAATGTGGGAAATCTGGGTTATATCTCTAGGTTGAAAAGCTCCCCGGAAGGAGGGCATGGCAACCTGCTCCAGTATTCTTGCCTGGAGAATCCCCATGGACAGAGGAGCTTGGCAGGCTGCAGCCCATGGAGTCACAAAGAGTTGGACATGACTGAGTGACTAAGTATAGCAAAGAGTATTTCAAAAGTGATAGAAATTACTATAATTCAGATTGAATTAATTAGTATGACTTAAGTAGATAACACAAATCTTTACTCAAGAAACAGTTCTCATAACTCGAAATGTTTAAACATCTATTTATTAAGGAAACAAATATACCTTGTTTGAAAATTCATTTACGATCAGATATCTATTGCAATGATTTTGTTCTCTGCCATCAAATGCGTGTTTTAAAATTTGACTATTAAAAAATGATTCTGTCCACAAAAGCATCTTAAACCAAAATTTTACAATTACAGCTCTTACCAAATGGGTTGGCTTCAAAACATCGTCCAGAAAACTTAATTTCTTTAAGTTTCTTGCGGGAAGCAAGTGCAGTCACAAGAGATTCAAAATCCGAAAATCTATTACATTCCAGATGGAAAATTTGAAGGTTTGGAGAATTCTGAACTAATCTGACTGTCAGATAAAATATCAGATTTCAGAAATCAGAGACTGAAAAGTTCTATCTGAATTAACCATATAAAATTAACAAAATTAATTTATTAATTTGTTTCAGCAATAATGAATCGAAATAAGGCATCATGATGTAATGACTTGGGCTGAGGTTCAGGTTCTGTAACTAACTGATGTGCTATGTGAACTGTTGTTACTGACCCTCTCTGGGGATCCATTTTCTCCTCCATATAATAATGGCATTGACTCAGCTTTAATATCCTAATAACCTAATGTCTCTAGTTTGCACGTGACGTTTACACTATAAAAACACTGTGCAAGGAAACACAAAGTCAGTGACAACTCTAAAGCAAACCCTAAATTTGATGAAAAAATTGCTGAGAAATATAAGAAAACTACTACTTCCAGCTTTAGCTACAAGGTTTTTTGCATGCAACTCTGCATGTCAGTTCACTAGAGATTTGTCTTCCTTCACTCAGTCTCCAGTGTTTAGTCTTTGTTAAACTAAGGAACTGATGATGCCTACATCACCTTGCTAAATGACATTTAAGAAAGATGGCTGTACAGGTTGTTCATTAACCAAGAGAACAGGCTGGAGAGAAACAGGGAAGTGCTTCTGATTACCACTAATCAGCAGGTTTCCTTGCAATGTAATAGCAACCTGAAAACAGAATAAGAGAACTCTACAAACTACTTTTGGAGAGGCAGTACACTGCTGTTTAAGAGCTCAGACTTAAGAGTTAGAATTCCTGTGTTTGAATTGCAAATTTACCATTTCCTTTTCTGGGTGACCTCAGAAAGCAAATTAATTAATTTCTCTAACTCCATTTCCTATCTAAAATGATTACTTTACCTTGTAGAATGCGTATGAAGGTTAAATGAGTTAAAATTTATTAAGTGCTAGAATAATTCACAGCATGTAGTAAAGGCTCAATTACAAATAGCTCTCTGCTTTTTTAATAACAGTAAGTGCTGTTCCCACAATTTACCTTGGTTATAGATTACACCCTCAGATCTTTAACTCTTAATTATTGGCCAAGTAGCTTTTCCAAATGATGTAAAAGCAAGTAAATCAAAGTGCCACACTTACCTAATTTGGAAGGACTGCATGTAGATGAAATTTGGATCAGTAATTTCTCCATATGGTAGAGATTTAGGAATTCTTCAGAAATGACTGAAAAAACATCTTGTTGCAGATTCACAGACAGTTCCTTCAGGCACAAGAATTTGTCCAAACTAAGAAAGAGGTGATCTAGAAAGCAGCACACAGTTTCCCATTATTAATTTAGAGTTCCAAACGGAAATTTTCAAACTGTCATTTTGATTCATCAAGCTATTTTCATATTTTCAAACGAAAACTTTCACATACACATTCTTTTTTAGAAAGCACATATATGAAAATAATGCTTTTTGTGGCATTTACTAGTATGTTGACTAAAAAAATATATGCACAACCTAAAAGTATGAGAATTATTTTATTCAGTGGACGTTCTTAGGACTTCAAGTCTGGGAGGCAACATCTCAAGTAAGCCTAAGAAAATTGCGCCAAGGAGATTAGGGGGAAGCAGTTTTGCAACAAACGGCAAAAGATTACTGTCAATAAAAGAAAACCAGATGTCTCAAGGAATTTAGCGCTTTTCTATGCATAGGAAGATGCAAGAGTCTGGGCTCACTGAAATCATTCCTTTGATTATGCACCTCAGCTGTCTGGGGCCAGGATCCTGTTTTCCCATCCTGAGTTTGCTCAAGCTGCACCTTTGGGGTGGCTGCAGTCTAATGACTGCTGCTGCTAAGTCGCTTCAGTCATGTCCTACTCTGTGTGACCCCATAGACGGCAGCCCACCAGGCTCCCCCGTCCCTGGGATTCTCCAGGCAAGAACACTGGAGTGGGTTGCCATTTCCTTCTCCAATGCTTGAAAGTGAAAAGTGAAAGTGAAATCTCTCAGTCGTGTCCGACTCTTAGCGACCCCATGGACTGCAGCCCACCGGGCTCCTCCATCTGGAGTGGGGTGCCATCGCCTTCTCCACTAATGACTGCTAGATGATAGGTATTCTTTGTTTCCTTCCTGAGTTTCCTCAGGGCTCACCCTCATGGGTGTAATTGCAATTGCTGATGACTACAACATCCTTTGTTACTGATATGGCAGGCAATATTTTATTTCTCATCTACCATATAAAAGTCTTGTACTATGCTCTGGATTCAGAAAAATGAGACATTTCAATGAATGGGGCTCAGACAACTGAATTCTCCATGCAAAAGAAGTTGGATCACTGCCATATACAAAATTAGCTCAAAATGAAGCAACGACCTAAATTCAACAACCATATAATGCTTTAGAAGAAAAGATGACTTTGGATTTGACAGTGGATTCTTGGATATGCTACCAAGACCATTAGCACAAAAGAAAAATAGACAAATTGGACTTAGCTGGAATTTCAAACTTTACAAATTGAAGGACATTACCAAGACAGTGAAAAGGGAAATCTACAGGAGAAAATATTTTATAAACCACATGCCAATAAAAATTATATGTAATTACACTATGATTATATAATATATATAATTATATATTCATATAATGAATATATTCTTTCCCAAAGAAAGGCAATGCCAAAGAATGCTCAAACAACTGCACAATTACACTCATCTAATACTCTAGTAAAGTAATGCTCAAAATTCTCCAAGCCAGGCTTCAACAGTACATGAACCGTGAACTTCCAGATGTTCAAGTTGGATTTAGAAACAGCAGAGGAACAAGAGATTAAATTGCCAACATCCGCTGGATTATCAAAAAAGCGAGAGAGTTCCAGGAAAACATCTATTTCTGCTTTAATGACTATGCCAAAGCATTTGACTGTGTGGATCACAACAAACTGTGGGAAACTCTTAAAGAGATGGGAATACCAGACCACTTGACCTGCCTCTTGAGAAATCTGTATGCAGGTCAAGAAGTAACAATTAGAAGTGGACATGGAACAACAGACTGATTCCAAATTGGGCAAGGAGTACATCAAGGCTGTATAGTGTCACCCTGCTTATTTAACTTATATACAGAGTACATCATGAGAAACGCTGGGCTGGAGGAAGCAAAAGCTGGAATCAAGATTGCCAGGAGAAATATCAATAACCTCAGATATGCAGATGACACCACCCTTATGGCAGAAAGCGAAGAAGAACTAAAGAGCCTCTTGACGAAAGTGAAAGAGGAGAGTGAAAAAGTTGGCTTAAAATTCAACATTCAGAAAACGAAGATCATGGCATTCGGTCCCGTCACTTCATGGGAAATAGTTGGGGAAACAGTGGAAACAGTGAAAGACTTTATTTTTTGGGCTCCAAAATCACTGCAGATGGTGAGCTCAGCCATGAAATTAAAAGAGGCTTGCTCCTTGGAAGAAAAGTTATGACCAACGTAGATAGCATATTAAAAAGCAGAGACATTACTTTGCCAACAAAGTTCTGTCTAGTCAGTTCAGTTCAGTCNTGTTGGAAGACTCCTGTGAGTCCTGAAAGATTGTTGCTGAATCATGCAAAGACGCCAGGATTCTTGGCCTCCGGAGGAGAAGAATTCAATCCCGGGCCAGAGACGAGGCTTGATTGCTCAGAGCTTTTTTTTTTTAATTTGCTCAGAGCTTTTGTGTAATAAAGTTTTATTAAAGTATAAAGGAGATAGAGAAAGCTTCTGACACAGACATCAGAAGGGGGTAGAAAGAGTACCCCCTTGCTAGTGTTAGCAATGGAGTTATATACTCTCTAATGAATCCAAAGAATGTCTGGAGGTTGTAAAGACCTCACCAGACCTACTCCCGTAATTTACATTTTAAGATAACAGAATTAGCCAGAAGGTTTAATCCAGAGACTGTCCTCAGGCAGGATACATCATTGTTATATAATCCTAAAGAATGTAGAGGACAAAAAAAAAAGTTTGTCCTTTCTTCCTCCTTGAGAATTCCAGACCCCTCTCTCCTTGGGGACCCCTAGACTTTTTATCAACCTACCTATGAAATGCCTCTCTCAGTCCCTTGGACTCCAAGGAGATCCAACCAGTTCATCCTAAAGGATATCTGTCCTGAATATTCATTGGAAGGACTGATGCTGAAGCTGAAACTCCAATATTTTGGCCACCTGATGCAAAGAACTGACTCATTGGAAAAGACCCTGATGCTGGGAAAGATTGAAGGCGGGAGAAGAAGGGGACAACAGAGGAGGAGATGGTTGGATGGCATCACCGACTCAATGAACATGAGTTTGAGTAAACTCCGGGAGTTGGTGATGGACAGGGAGGCCTGGAGTACCGCACTCCATGGGGTCGCAAAGAGTCGGACACGACTGAGTGACCGAACTGAACTGATATATTCATAACACATTATGAATATACAGTTATACAATGAACTTATATAACTCCAATAAAAAGACAACACAATTTTTTAAATGGGCAAAGGAACAAGCAACCCAATCTGAAAACGGGCAGGAGACCTCAAGAGACATTTCTTCAAAGAAGACATACAGATAGCTAACAAGCACATAAGGTGCTCAAAATCACTAATCATTAGAGAAATGCGAATCAAAGCTATAATGAGGTATCACCTCACAGTGGTCAGAATGACTAACATCAAAAAGTCTACAAACAGACAAAAAACAAAACAGAAAATGTCTACAGACAATAAATGCTGGAGAGGATGTAGAGAAAAGGGAACCCTCCTACACTGTTGATGGGAATGTAAATTGGTACAGCCACTAGGGAGAACAGTCTGGAGGTTCCCTAAAAAACTGAAAACAGAGCTACAATCCAGCAATCCCACTCTTGGCCACACATCTAGAGAAAACTCTTAATTTGAAAAGATACATATACCCCAATATCCATAGCAGCACTATTTATAATAACCATGACATGGAAGCAACCTAAATGTCCATCAATGATGACTAGATAAAGAAGATGTGATACACATACAATGAGATATTACTCAGCCATAAAAAAGAATGAAATAATGCTATTTGCAGCTACACAGATGGACCTAGAGATTATCATATTAAGTGACAAAAGTCAGAAAAATGAATATATGATACCATTTATATGTGGGCTCTAAAAAAGTAATACAAATGAACTTATTTACAAAACTGAAATAGACTCACTGACATAGAAAATAAATTTATGGTTACCAAGGTGGAAAGAGGAAGGAGGGAGGAATAAATTAGGAGTTTAAGATTAATAGATATACACTATGTATAAAATAAGCACCTACAGTATAGCACAGGGAACTATATTCAATATCTTGTAATGATCTATAGTGGAAAAAAATTTTAAATATACATACATATGTGTATATACACACATATAACCTGAATCACTTTGCTGTATACCAGAAACTAACACAACATAGTAAATAAACCACACTTCCATTTTTTTAAATGGACAAAACAATTTAATAGACTCTCTTCAAAAAATATATACCAACAGCCAATAAGCACCTGAAAAGATGCTCAATAGCATTTTAGTCATTAGGAAAATGAAAATCAAAACCACAATAAGATATAATTTCACACCTACTAGCTCGGATGTCTCTGATTTAAAAAAAAAAAAAAGCTTGGAGGATGTGAAGAAACTGGAACCCTGGTACGTTCTTTGTAGGGATGCAAAATGCTGCAGCCAGTGTGGAAAACAGTTTGGAGATTCCTTGAATATTAAAATAGAATTACTATCATTAATATGATCCAATAACTTCACTTCTAGGTATAAACCAGAAAGAACTGAAAGCAGTGTGTTAAGGTGACACTTGTGCATCCATGTTCATAGCAGTGTTAGCCAGAATGAACAGTGCAGGTGTCCATCGACCGACGAACTGATTAACAGGGCATGATATATTTGTTGTTTAGTCACTAGGCCGTGTCCGACTCTTTGTGACCCCATGGACCGTAGCCCACCAGGCTTCTTTGTCCATGGGATTTCCCGGGCAAGAACACTGGAGTGGGTTGCCATTTTCTTCTCCCGGGGATCTTCTCAACCCAGGGACTGAACCCGTGTCTCTAACATTGACTGGAGGATTCTTTGCCCCTGAGCCACCAGGAAAGCCACTGTATATATACATACAATGCAATATTACTCTCGCTATAAAAGTAGTGAAGTTCTGACACATGCTACAACATGGGTGAACCCCAAAAACATTATGCTAAATGAAAGGAGACAGACACACAAGGACAAAATATTGTACGGATTCATTTAGATGAAGTAGAATAGACAAATTCATAGAGACCTCAGTGGCTGGGAAGAGGAAGGAGTTATTTAATAGGTGCAAAGTTTGGGATGATGAAAAGGTTGTGGAAGTGAATAGTGACGATGGTTCACAGCACACTAATTCTACTTAAAGCCACTAAACTGTATATTGAAAAATGTGTTTTATCATAATAAAAATATTTGAAAAAAATGAACAAAATTTCTCTAACTTTGAAGATAAATATCAACACATAGATCCAAAAAATGTTCAGTGTCCCTCAAGTAAGATATAAAGCAAAGCACTTCGAGGCATTTAACAAACTGCTGAAAATCAAACTCATAGTAGCAACAATCAGAAAATGAAAAATTAGTGTCATTTACAAGAGTATCAAAAATGCAAGTACCTAGGAATAAATTTAAAGAAAGATGATACAGTCTACACCAAAAACTCTAAAACACTGCTTAGCCAAGTGAAAGGAGACAAAAATAACTGGGAGGCATTACTTCCCACTTGCTTATTTCCCAGAGTACAAGCCCTTTCTTCCACGAAGCAGGTGAGGTGAGAGTAGTTCTCAAGCATTATTTACATACAGATAATTATTTTACTAATAACTAGTCATTTGTTTACTAAGAGCCTTCATTTGTCATTTTATTATTTATATCAGAGTTTGAAAGTCATTCTACTATTTGGAGGCTTTTCACTAATTCATATTACTAAGAGAAATAAATTAGTAAAATTTAAATTGTCCAATCAGCAAGGATTTACAGTCTCATGCTTTCAAAAGTTTTTATCCATTTACAACTAAGAGTGAAAAGATGAAAGTACATAGCCTAATAGTCATCTAAAATAGGTTCCCGCTTACCTTGTCGATGGGTTGTCTCTGAGACGTCAAGAGATTCTAGGGAAGTCAGAGTGAGAAGCAGTTCCTGCTCTGCTGCGCTCAGCTCGCACTGGCTTACGCAGCACTTTGTGAAAGAGGCCTTGTGCTGCTCCAGAGCTGGGCGGATGTTTCCAATAAAACCCCTGCTGTGGTTCAAGTGGAGTTCAATGTGCTGCGCAGCTGAGAAAACCTCTGTTAGGAACCTTAGCATCTCCTGATCCACAGCATTGGTATTAATCACATGAACTTCCAGAAGGGGAATCTTGTACTGCTTTGAAGGAAGGTTCCAATAGCCAGTGCTCGTGGCTGGTGGTGCATTGAGCCGAATGTTCTGAAAATGTTTAATGTTTTCCTGTTTTTCACCTAAACTCTGCTTCCATTCACTCTCAAGTTCAAAGGCAGAAGCATAGTCCTGATCTATAGTTGGTGCCTGTGATTTGTCGAAAATTCTTTCCATAGGCAAATCTGTTACGAACGACGACCTATTTCCACTTATGGAGACCTGGATGCTCCTCAACAATAACAGGCTTTCTGGGTGGTCAAAAAAATACTGTAACTTAAGCACATCCAAACACAGGGTTCTCCCATGAAGGAATTGCAAAATGAAAGGAGAACATGCAGCAACAGTGTTGCTTTGATACGCAATTTTCACAGCCAGAGCTAGCAAATGTTTTGAAGCCAGTGAAAGGTAATTTTGTGGAGAAAATTGCCACACCAACCTGAAACACTGCATCACCTCAGAAATTTCTGGATGATGCTTCAGGTAGGCATCATTTTCAGATATATTCTCCAGTGTCTCTTTATTATCCACCAAAAGAAGCAAATGGGATACAATTTTTGGCCCTGCCTTTGTTGAAGGATGGCAGGAGACACAGTTCAGAAAATTGGCATAGGGACAGATAGCCATCAAGGCTGAGTTGATTTGTTTCAAATAATGAAGTCCCAAATCTTGGTCTTCTTGCGTATCTGAATCCAGGAGTTCGGTCAGCCTCATTCCAGCAAGGAATTCTTGAAATGCAGGATTTAAAAACTGATAGACTGGCCTCAGTCTCTGGGCTGTAAATTTGCTCATCAGGTACATTGCTAGATCTTCCTCTTCACCAATCCCTGCTTCTCTGAGGTCCTCATCACTAAACTCAAAGCAAGATGCAAAAAAGCCTTTCAAGGCTAGTTCACCGCAGGAGGACAGAGTTGCTTTGAGTAGGTCAGCTGCAGTTTTGTGCTTTAAGAAAAGGCATTCCATATAGGACTTGAAAACAGCCACACTATCAAAGGATCGATGAAAACGATTCTGAAGCCAACTAGCACAGACCGCTGACACAAACAAGGGCGTTTTCTGAACTGCCTGCCAAGTTTGACTCATTCCGAAGTCAACCATCAACTTTCGCAGACGGGTCAAATTGCCTGGAAAGAGCTTCTGTAGTACAGAAATTGTATTATAGAAAGGAAACGCCTTAATCTCTATGATTGTGTCTAGGTATCGGCGGATGTTCTTGGCCCTATTTGTATGGACAGTGATCAACAAGCAGGTCCTTGACAAATGTTTTTTTTGAATCATCCTTGCTATGACTTGGGGGACTGAGCACATTTCTTTGTAGTCATCCAAAAGGAATAACACCTGGTTCTTTAACTGCTGGATGATGTTCCTTAGGCCCATTTCAGTAACAGATGCATTTGTCTCTAAGAGTTGGTCATGAATGACACTGGCCAGCCCCTGCTCTGGTCTGGTAGAGCCAAGAGAGAGATAGAAGACCAGCCGGAACCTGTTTAACAAGGGGCAGCATCCTGATGCCCACAGAAGAGCTATTTTCTTCAGGAGGATGGTCTTTCCACTCCCAGCTTCACCCTCCACACTCATGACAGAGTTCAAGTTAGCAAAGACTTCAGGCAACACCACAGGCTCTTGCACAGGATTGGTGATGGATTTTAAAGCAAAGGACAGATCACAATCCAGCCACTGGTCCGTGGCTAGACAGGAAGAGATCTCAAGCAAAGACATGTGGCAGAAAGGAGCACTGGTATAGACTTTTCTCAGGCGCTCACTCAGGCTCTCTGCCTCCTGAAACCACTGGGCTTCACCCTGGGCCACCTCTGTGGAGAAAAGCAAGGAGGCACAGTTACAAACAGGTATTCCTATTACCCCTGCATGCGGGACTTCCCGGGCAGCCTAGTGGTTGAGCCTTCACACTTCCACTGCAGGGGCACGGGTGCAGTCCCAGGGTGGGGAGCTAATATCCCACACGCTGTGTAGTTTGGCCATAAATAAATAAATGATAAAATAAAATCCTCTATATACAAAGATATGTACACATTCATATAATCCCATGTGCTACCTCCGAATCCTTACCTGGCACTACAGAACCAACTGCTGTTGACTCTTCAAGATGGCTTTCGCTTGTAGTTCCCTTTGAAAAGAAAATTCTCTATTAAATTAACATCTGTATAAGAGGGTGGGGCCTCAACTTACAATCAGAAACCAGACATTTTCTAAACACAAGCCACCCTCAAGTGTTTATGCCAGTTGCAGGGAGGAGTGCTACAAATATGAAATAATAAGTGATCTGCAAACACATGCAAGCGTATGCTTCTGTATGCTACCCAAACAGCACATTCCTTGGGTGACATGAGCAGTGATTACTGACCAGATGATTAGAGTCACAGTGTCAAGAGCAAGATGGACCCTCCAGAAACCATTCAGTATAGCTTCTGATCTCAGTTATTAAAAGCATTTTAAATATTACATACCTGGGATGTAGGGAAATTAAGTTTCTTCTTTTAAAAATAAGTTCTTTAAGGAAGGTGGAGGGAGATGATCAAAATTGGTGGAAGGGATTAAGAGATACAAACTTGCAGTTGTAAGTCACAGAGATGGAATTACAACAAGGGGAAAATAGTCAATATTACTATAATAACTTTGATGCAGACAGTAACTAGACTTGTGGTAGTAATCATTTTGTAATATCCAGTAATATCTAATACTATGTAGTATACCTGGAACTAATATTGTAAGTCACATATACATCAATAAAATAAAAACAGCTATTTCTATACCCCCAAAAGTTTTCCTTCAATTTCATTTTTAGTTCACAAATGTAAAAGACGAGTCAAATGAATGGCAAATTACTCTATTTTCTTTTTCATGGGGTGACAATATACTTAACATATAGCCTCAAATAAGGGGTGTGTGTGTGTGTGTGTATGTGTGTGTGTTAAATTGGTAGTGGCTAATATCCCAAAGAAATATATATAATTTCATAGTTTAAAGGGGTCAACCTGTTAATCTGACCATTAATTAATAGTCAGATTGGTTGGTCATTTGCTTTTGTAAAAGAAACATATCTTCCCAACTTTGAGAAAAGCCAACTAGCAAGTTAGATTTACTGCCTTCCAAGCAAAGGTCACTGATGGGGTCAGGTAGCCTGGCTGCTAATCAACTCTTAGGTCCAAACAAGTGTGGGCACCAAAGTAGAAGGGACTGACTCTACAGATGCTTGACAGATATTGGCAGAATTTATTGACTGATTTATTTATGATGGATCTTCCCTGTAGCTCAGATGGTAAAGAATCTGCCTGCAATGCAGGAGGCCCGGATTCAATCTCTGGGTCGGGAAGATGCTCTGGAGAAGGGAATGGCAATCTGTATTCTTGCCTCGAGAAACCCATAGACAGAGGAGCCTGGCAGGCTACAGTTCGTGGGGTCACAAAGCATCGGACATGACTGAGTGACTGACACTACTTATTTATGATGAGCAGCTCCTGCTCAAAACTGTTCTTAATCACATGATCACACACTCTGAAAATAAACAAGGTGGCATTCAATACCGTTAACTCAGAAAGTTCATCATGGCTCTGAAGGTCTGGAATCACTTCTGCAGAGGACTTCACACTCTGGAGAAACTGACAACTAAACACACAAGTTACAAGTTATAAAGCTAGTTGCATGCAATTAAACCTTTGCTTCAGGTTTTCAAAAACACTGCCAGAGTTTTAGTGGCAAAGATTAGGTATAAAATTAACATTTCCTGTGAGTCTGTCAGTATCTTTATCAAGCAAGGCATGTAGACTGTGGCTCTTGGGAGCAGAGATGTAAATGGCTCATAAAGTAATGGTGGGGATAACCAGCCAATTTGGTGGAATGGGAGCATATTTAACACTCATCCATGAAACCAACTAAAATGAACCTAATGGAAAGAAAATAGTGACAATAAGTCCATCTATGGATTTTGGGACAAAGACAATAAAAAGGACATGAGCAGGAAAAAAAATGGTGAAACACATGTAAACATCTGGAGTTGACTGTAATGTGCCGGTGTTGTTTTTTTTAAATTTTAACAAATGTACCAGGGTAATGTAAGACGTTAGTACTAGAGGAAACTGAGTATGGGAATACAGGAACACTGTATTATCTTTTCACCTTTTCTCTAAATCTAAAAATACCTCCAAATAAAGTTTATTTCAGGAAAAAAAAAAACTCCATCAATATGAAGACTAAAGAATGGCCCTAAAAACAATTTGCTAGACATCATGAAATTGGAACATACAATACTTTCTAAATTCAGTTATGATGTTTGCCTGAAGAACCAAGGAAGAAAATTCTACAGAGCTCTATTCACAATCATTAATTTGGATAAATGAGAACTATAAATGTGAGTAGGTAAATGATAAAACTAGAAACAACTCTCTCAGCTTATTTTTATGCTGCTGAATTATAGGAAAGCAGGAGATAAAGCAAGAGGACACATCATTTTTATTTTCCTAGATGAATGACTTGGAGATGAGCCCAGGAATAGAAGGGCAGCTATAGAAAAAGCTAGTAGGACTTTAAATGCTTCTGTCCAAGGTCACTCTGCAGATAAACCCATCAAGGGAAAGGACTCTGAAGGAAGGTAAAATACAGACTTTTCTGTACAAATAAAGCCAACGAATTTAGCTGCCAGCAGACTAGTACTACAAGAAATGTTAAAGGAAGTTCTTCTTAAGTTTCTTCTTAAAAGGAAAATCATAACAGATGGAAACTTGGTTCTACCCAAAGGAATGAAGTGTTCCAGGAATGGTAACTCATTGGGTAAATATGAAATATGCTTTCTCTCTTTCTAAAAATGTATTTAAAAGATAATTGTTCACAACAAAGATATAACACTAGATTGTGACATTTAGAACACATGTGAAGTAGAATGAATGGTAGCAACAGCACAGAGACGAGGGAGGGGAAAACAGAAGTACACTGTTACTTGGGTTCGTGCATTATATGTCAGTTGTTATAAAGTTATTTGAAGATGACTGTGATTTGTCAGAAGAAGGCAATGGCACCCCACTCCAGTACTCTTGCCTGGGAAATCCCATGGACGGAGGAGCCTGGTAAGCTACAGTCCATGGGGTCGCTAAGAGTCGGACACGACTGAGCGACTTCACTTTCACTCTTCACTTTCATGCACTGGAGAAGAAAATGGCAACCCACTCCAGTATTCTTGCCTGGAGAAACCCAGGGATGGGAGCCTGGTGGGCTGCCGTCTATGGGATCGCACAGAGTCGGACACGACTGACGTGACTTAGCAGCAGTGATTTGTCAAACGTGCATTATGTAGATTACAGAGCAGGCACTAGAAAGACAAAGCTGAACAGCTAAAAAGCCAACTTCAGAGATAAAATGGAAAATAGCAAAATACTCAAACGCAAGTCAGGAAGAGAAGAGACAAACCAGAGACGGATAAATAGAAAACAAAGAGCAAAAGAGTAGATTTAAATCCAACCATATCAATGAGTCTATTAAATGTAAATGTTCTAAACACTCCCATTACGAAGCAGATTTTGGGGAATCTCTTGGTGCTCCAGTGGTTAGGACGCCTTGCTCTCACTGTCAGGGCCCTGGTCAGGGAATTAAGATCCGACAAGCTGTAAGGCACAGCCAAAAATCTCAAACAAACAACAATAACAACAAAACAAGAAAGCAGGTATTGTCAGACTGCCAAAAAAGCAAGACGCACCTATGCTGTCCACAAGAAGCTCACTTTAAAGTTGCAGGTTAAAAGTAAAATTATTTTGGGAATTCCTTGGTGGTCCAGTGGTTAGGACTCCATTCTCTCTGGGTTTGATCCCTGGTCTGGTAACTAAGATCCCTCACGTTGTACTCCACAGCCAAAAAAAGAAAAAAAAAAAAAGATTTCAAAAAAGATAGTATCATGCAAAAACTAAAAGCTGGAGTGGCTACAGTATATTAACATCAGATAAAGACACAAGAACAAGGAGTAGCAAGAGAGATAAAGAGGGACATTTCATATATTTTCTGAATAAGAAAGAAGAAAGGACAAAGAATAGACAAGATATGTTTCTGAAGAAAAAGAGCAAGGAAACTATGTGGAAAAATATGAAAATATGTTCAACATTATTAGTAAATAGATTGACAAAAATTGGGGCAATATAAGTTAGTGAGGGAGCAGACAGAATGGAAACATCTATACCAGTAAGAATATAAATCAGTACAGCCACTTTGGAAAAAGTTTTGCATAATCTAGTAAAGTTGAATGTGCACATCTTATCACTTTGCAACTCCATGGCTAGTTATGTATCCTAAAGAAATATGAGCACTGGGAATTATGTCCAAGAAGGTTCATAGAGGCATTATTTGAATTGCAACATTAGCAATGAGAACAGGTAACTTGCAACTCTTACATAATTATGAATGAGTCTCAAAAATTCTATGGAGTAAAACAAGTCAATCATCACAGAAGAACCATGCAGTATGCTTCCATTTATTTGAATTTATAGAACAGGCAAAGTTAAGTATGCTTAATGATACATATGTAGCTGGTGAAACCATTCTGAGTAGAAGGAACAATTATCACGAATTTCAGGGTTGATGGTGGTTTCATCACTAAGTCGTGTCTGACTCTTGCAATCCCATGGACAGTGGAGCCTGGCAGGCTTTTCCAGGCAAGAATACTGGAATGGGTTGCCTTTTCCTTCTCCAGGGGATCTTCCCAGCACTGGGATCCAACCTGGGTCTCCTGCATTGCAGGCAGAACTGAGCCAACAGGGAAAACCTTCTGAATTGGAGGGACAAGGATATAATCAGAACTGGGAAAGTAGGCACACACTAGCCTTCTAAGGAGTTGATAATATTCAATTTCTTAACTTTAGTGGTAGGTTCATTGGTTTCTTTAATTTTCCTTTAAGTCATACATGCTTATTTAAGGGCATCCTAGTTTGCAATTTTAAAAGAGAGGCAAAAGATTGAAGCTTCACTCAGCAGACCAAAAAAACAAAAACAATAACAAAACAAACAAAAAAGGCAGAAGAGAAATAAAAAGCTTCACAAAAAAGGAAATGACAGAGTTGAGAAAAGGTCCTAAATACAATCAAGACTGTATCCTAGTTTATTTTTCCAAAAATTAAGAAGACTATCTCCACTGTTTAACAATTTACTAAATACTAAAACCAAAAAAAAAAAAAAAATGCAGCTACTTCTGTGAAAACACCTTCAAAACTATATCTCTTGAGAATCTTAGAATTAGATAGAAGCATTTAAGACCTATTTGTATTAATATTTATTTCTAGAAGAGCATTTACTAATTACAAAGTGAAAACAACAAAATGTCCTCTTACAGTTGAGCATTTTTGAAGAGTCTGGTGAGTGAAAAATAAGCCCTCCAAAATGTTAAAGAGCTACAGAAAAGAAATATTTAAAATTAGCCATTTCTTCATGAAATTTTAGAACACTGGAAACAAAGAGAAAATCCTAAATGCTTCCAGAATGGGAAGAAGTAATAAAAAGATTAAGAATCAGAAAGACATGGAACTTCAACAGCAATACTGGAAGTTATTAGAAAATGCAGCAATGTCTCTATAATTTGGAATTAAAATGATTTCCAACCTGGAATTCCATACCTAGTTAAACTACCAAACAAGTATGAGAATATATATATAAATATTTATTCAGATATATGCATTAAGCGGAAGCTATAAACACGCATTTCTTATGCAGTCTTTCCCAGGGATCTGTGGGGGGGTATTTCAAAGTGAGTGAATAAGCCAAGAAAAGGATGACAACAGATCCAGGAAACACAGGAGAGAGGCGATAGGAATCCCTAGGATGACTTGAAGAACAATCCTAGGATCCCAGGGTAACTTCAGGACAAAGAGTTCATATTGAAGCAGGTCAGAGACTTCATGACAGCCTCTTTAAGAAAATGAAAACAGTGGGCTATATTACAAGTCTGAATGATTGGAGAGGAGATTTAAACATTTGGGAGAATTTGAAGATGAACTGGTGCTAAATATGTTTTAAAAACTAAGCAAATGGCTATATTTTTTGAAAAGGAAAATAACAGGTATTGGTGAGGAGATGGAGAAACTGAAATACATACATACATATATATATATATATATATACACATGTACAGTTACATATATCTCACTCATGAAAAAGAATGAAGTATTGATACATGCTACAACATGAATGAACCTCAAAACACTGTGCTAAGTAAAGTCAGATGCAAAAGATATTATATGCTTCCATTTACATAAAATATCCAAGAGAATAAATCTATAGCAACAGAAAGCTAACTCGCAGCTCTCAGGAAATAGGGTGTACTGGGGAGACAAGGAATGACTGCTTCATGGGTAAAGAGTTCTCTTTCGAATAACGAAATGTTTTGGAATTAGTGGAGGTGATTGCACAGCACTGCTCATGTACTAAATGCTACTGGATTGTGCACTTTTAAAAGAGTTTATGTGTGAATTAAAAAAAAAAAAAAAGTAAGCAAACATACTGATAAAACAATTATCACTCCCTCCAGAAACTGGAAGTTGTACAGGGAGAGAAAATAAATTATTTACTACAAGGCTCCGCCTTTATGAAGTCATGATAAAATAGACATTAATGTGAAAATAATGACTGAACCAAAACTGTACTGTAACTATTGAGAGAGGAAGGCTAGATGGGAAGGGGGTTGTGAAAGCAATGGAATGAAAGAAAGGAAGACTCATCCTTCATTGTAAGAATGAGACACGTGGGCAAAGACTTAATCAGAATATAAAATGAGGGGGAAATTGCTAAAATACATCCAGATTCATAGATACTAAGCATTCCTTCCACTTACTTGGGAAAAAATTTGGCGTGTTCTTCTAATGGGTCATCACCTTCCTCCCACTCATGCAAATACCCTCTACAGGAAAAACACTGGACAATGTCCGATTTACCTAGAAGTAAGGAAACTCGATCAGTGCCACAGGCCAATGTATTTGTCAAGTGACGCAGATAATAACCATATTAGCAAAACCGAGCTTACACTTTCTATCAGATTTTGTGACAAAGTCACAACTTTGTGTCACCAGTGAGGAAATATTCTAACTAGGGCTCTTCTTGCACCAGTGGGGTCATGAGCACTGAATGTTTCTATGTACCATGCACACTGATCAAACCCTGTCCCGTCCCCTCTTCAGGCAATGAGGCAAGAGATTTGCAAATCAGAATGTGGAGTCTAGTTAAACTACCAAACAAGTATGAGAATATATATATAAATATTTATCCAGATATATGCATTAAGCGGAAGCTATAAACACGCATTTCTTATGCAGTCTTTCCCAGGGATCTGTGGGGGGGTATTTCAAAGTGAGTGAATAAGCCAAGAAAAGGATGACAACAGATCCAGGAAACACAGGAGAGAGGCGATAGGAATCCCTAGGATGACTTGAAGAACAATCCTAGGATCCCAGGGTAACTTCAGGACAAAGAGTTCATATTGAAGCAGGTCAGAGACTTCATGACAGCCTCTTTAAGAAAATGAAAACAGTGGGCTATATTACAAGTCTGAATGATTGGAGAGGAGATTTAAACATTTGGGAGAATTTGAAGATGAACTGGTGCTAAATATGTTTTAAAAACTAAGCAAATGGCTATATTTTTTGAAAAGGAAAATAACAGGTATTGGTGAGGAGATGGAGAAACTGAAATACATACATACATATATATATATATATATATACACATGTACAGTTACATATATCTCACTCATGAAAAAGAATGAAGTATTGATACATGCTACAACATGAATGAACCTCAAAACACTGTGCTAAGTAAAGTCAGATGCAAAAGATATTATATGCTTCCATTTACATAAAATATCCAAGAGAATAAATCTATAGCAACAGAAAGCTAACTCGCAGCTCTCAGGAAATAGGGTGTACTGGGGAGACAAGGAATGACTGCTTCATGGGTAAAGAGTTCTCTTTCGAATAACGAAATGTTTTGGAATTAGTGGAGGTGATTGCACAACACTGCTCATGTACTAAATGCTACTGGATTGTGCACTTTTAAAAGAGTTTATGTGTGAATTAAAAAAAAAAAAAAAGTAAGCAAACATACTGATAAAACAATTATCACTCCCTCCAGAAACTGGAAGTTGTACAGGGAGAGAAAATAAATTATTTACTACAAGGCTCCGCCTTTATGAAGTCATGATAAAATAGACATTAATGTGAAAATAATGACTGAACCAAAACTGTACTGTAACTATTGAGAGAGGAAGGCTAGATGGGAAGGGGGTTGTGAAAGCAATGGAATGAAAGAAAGGAAGACTCATCCTTCATTGTAAGAATGAGACACGTGGGCAAAGACTTAATCAGAATATAAAATGAGGGGGAAATTGCTAAAATACATCCAGATTCATAGATACTAAGCATTCCTTCCACTTACTTGGGAAAAAATTTGGCGTGTTCTTCTAATGGGTCATCACCTTCCTCCCACTCATGCAAATACCCTCTACAGGAAAAACACTGGACAATGTCCGATTTACCTAGAAGTAAGGAAACTCGATCAGTGCCACAGGCCAATGTATTTGTCAAGTGACACAGATAATAACCATATTAGCAAAACCGAGCTTACACTTTCTATCAGATTTTGTGACAAAGTCACAACTTTGTGTCACCAGTGAGGAAATATTCTAACTAGGGCTCTTCTTGCACCAGTGGGGTCATGAGCACTGAATGTTTCTATGTACCATGCACACTGATCAAACCCTGTCCCGTCCCCTCTTCAGGCAATGAGGCAAGAGATTTGCAAATCAGAATGTGGAGTTGAAGCTCCATGAAGGAGGAGAATTTTGCCTGTCTTGCTCCCCAGTGAATTTCATGGACCTAGAACAGTGATTAGCACTTATTATGCACTTAATAAGTTATCTGTTCAATGAATAAATCAGAAAGAATATATTTGGAGCTCAGAAAAAATATATATGAGCAAATATAGCCACTCTCATGTAAGTAAGATTGTGAAGAATCAGACACCTCTTACTATAGGTTTATTCCACTAGAAATAGGATCAAGTCTTCAAGTGAGACTCTATTTTTTGGAAGGAAATTAGCATTTGGATCTACCAAAGCACTGAACTAGAAACATCCTAGTTTCTAAGAGGGCTTCTGTGGTAGCTCAGGTGGTAAAGAATACGCCTGCAATGCATTAGACGCTGGTTCGATTCCTGAGTTGGGAAGATCCACTGGAGATGGGACAGGCTACCCACTCCAGTAGTCCTGGGCTTTCCTGGTGGCTCAACTGGGAATCCGCTCAGTAAATAATCCACCTGCAATGTGGGAGACCAGGGTTCGATTCCTGGGTTGAGAAGATCCCCTGGAAAAGGGAACAGCTACCCACTTTAGTCAGATGATGGAACATTCCTCATCTTCCTTCTCCTCTTGGACTCCTGCAGTCATTATAAAGCCAGAGCATAGGAAAATCTCCCTTTGTGTCTGTACAGAAACAGGAGGTCCTAGAGCTTGCGAGATCCCAAAAGGGTGAAATGACTAGGACTTGTGGGTGAGGAGGAGATTCAAAAGGAAGAGGGTGAGGACACTACTAGAGAGAAGGCCCTTGAGCACGGCTGCCAAGGGGAGGAGAGAACGGAGGGAGCAAGAAGAAAGGGTGGAACCCTAACTTTCCAGTTACTCTAAGTTAACTTTCCAGTTAACTCTAAGACACTGAGGCATTAAGATTTTTTGCACCAATGGAACACGACTGTTAGTTCAAGTGAACACTACACTCCCCCACTCTGCTCCACTCTGTGATATTCATGACTTGACCCCACAGCAGAAGTTCCCCCATGGACCTTCACTGTAATTGAGCATGTGCGTTTGGTGTGGAGAAGGTCAGCAAGGTCCCCAGCAAGGACACAATATCATTTCACCTTTCTACACCTCAGGCAGAGGTGAAGTTGAGGGGAACCCCCGCTTTCTTTGCACATGACAAAGTGGAACTCCTGATGGCAGATTCTCCATGCTTAGGAATTATAAAGAGGAATTTCCTTACTTTGTCTTCCAAGGAGCGTGTGGCAAAAAAACCCTCTATCCAGGGGAATTCTCTGCTGGTCCAGTGGCTAAGACCACGTGCTCCCAATGCAGAGGGCCTGGTCAGGGACCTAGGTCCCACATGCCTCAACTGAAGAACTCCTGTGCTACCGCTAAAGATACCGCATGCCGCCATGAAGACCCAAGATCCCACAGTCAAATACATATATATATTTTTAAAAGACCACTATCCACACTCCTAGTTATCTCTCAATCTTCCATAGTAACAGAAACTTCAATTTTCAGCTAGGCACACTGTTACCTGGAAGAAAAAAATTGAACGTCCCAGCTCCTCTGATATGTAGGTATGGATACCTGACTACTGAGCTGGTCCAACAGCGAGGGACACAGTCATGCGACAGTTTCCAGAGGGGTGGGGTAGAGAGTAAAGTGTACCCAGGCCTGATCATTACCCCAACAGGATCCTTGTATTTGTTGTTAGCCCAGACCTTAAGTTTTCAAGATTGGGGCTTTACTACCTAAAGGAGGTGTGGAGAACCGGGAGAGGATTTATGATACAGAAAGGAAAAAGCATACGTGAGGAATAATGAGAAGAAGCAGGGATTGTTGAGCCTAGTTAAATACAAGCCCAGGATCATGAAGGGCATGTGGGGTTTCAGTGGGCACAAGGCAAGAGCGTGGGGCAAACTGCTGACTCACCTGTGTAGAAAAGACCTGCTTTGACCAGACCTGCTGCTCCCACTGGGGACGACGGGCTCCAGTATTTGAAAGACTGCAGTCGGAGTTCTTCATTACCAAAGATGCTGCCATTGCGACAGACTTGAATAAAAGGCATACGGTGAGACTAGCAAGTTGTGATATTACTACTATCAGTGTTTGCACTATCCTTTTGTGTTTAAAGATAGAACAGTATATTCGAGTTTGTTTCAATGCAATTGAAGGAGGGGGTTAGAAAAGGAGAAACAAAACCAGACTGACTACGTGTTAAATTGTTGAAACAGAATGGTGGATACATGGTGGGAATTTGCTATGGTCTTATTTCTGTATACATTCATTTTTTTATAATAAAATATTTTCAAATTATCTCTTCATTGTATAGCATCAGAATAAAGCAAGAGGAAGCCAGAGGAGCTTCTCTTCCTCCCCAAGTTAGTATCAAAACTTGAGAAAGGCAAATCTTGCTTGAAGCCCCCTAAAAAGGAGGCAGATTTATTTCTTGCCCTTTGGGTGTCAGCTCTACGGGGGTGGTCTCCATTAGACTTTCCACATTGGTCCTACAGTTTGGTTCCTGTCTTCTGCACTCCTTGAGGATTTGAAAACCAACTTATGTGTATTAAATATGGTAACAAAAGTAGATACTGCAAAATTCCTTAAGATGAAACCTTGTTTCAGTATCACGTTTGATCCCAGGATTCCGGCTTTCTCTTTCTTTTTAATTGGAATATGACTTAATGTACTTGGAAAACCTCAGTCTTTTCCTCCAGTGTGTTTCTTTTACTATCACACTACTGTCACACTCACAATACCTCTGATACTTTCCCCACTGAGCAATTCTCTGCACCACCAGCGGGGTGTCCTACAATTTACTCGGACACTATCTACTTAGTAGTACCAGATCCTACAGATTAAAGGCTCAATCCCATAAGACAGCTCCCACTCCACTTCATTCGACAGAGTGGCTCACAGAACCCAGGGAAACACTTATATTTGTTTAGCAAAGGACATGATCAAGGGTACAGATGAGCTGGGGGCTTTCTAGGTGGTGCTACTAGTAAAGAACCCGCCTGTCAATGCAGGAGACATAAGAGATGCAGGTTTGGAAGATCCCTGGATTAGGGATCCCTGGATTAGGAAGATCCCCTAGAAGAGGGCATGGCAAACTACTCCAGTATTCTTGCCTGGAGAATCTCATGGACAGAGGAGCCTGGTGGACTACATCCCAGAGCGTGGCAAAGAGTCAGACATGACTGAAGCGACTTGGCACGCACACACGCACAGATAAACTGGCTCACAGACTGAGATCTGGGAGCTTCCTTCCCCATGGAGTTGGGATGTGTTACAGTTACAGTGTGGTTGTGTTCACACACCCAAAGGCTCCTGGATCCACAAACTATTGGGATTTTTATGGAGGTTTCCTCACATAGGCATGATCAATCATTAATTCAATTTATATCCCCTCTCCGCGCTATGAAGAAAAGGGAGTAGGGCTGAAAATTCCAAGCTTCTAATCATAACATGTTCTTTCCAGTGACCAACCCCCAACCAAGAGCCCACCCAGAGTCACCACATCAGAAGCCAAAAGTGCTCTTAGTGCTCGTTTCACTTGGGGGTTTGCAAGGGTTTTAGGAGCCCAGTATCAGGCACAGTGTCAAAGATCAAATGTTAGAACAAGAGATGCTTCTCATGATCTTATCACTCAGGAAATTACATGGGTTTTAGAAGCTCTGTGAAAAAGTTGGCTTAAAACTCAACATTCAGAAAACTAAGATCATGGCATCCAGTCCCATCACTTCATGGCAAATAGATGGGGAAACANTGCCAGGAACTGGGGGCAGAGATCAACATTTATTTTCTATTACTTCACATTTAATTTCTTAATAGACACTGATCCATTTAAGAATGTTTTCAAAACCATTTTATCCAGAAACCTTAACTGTTTTAAGGGAAATTCAATTAAGGACCCAGCCCTGATATATTTCCCTATGTTCATTTATGTTAAAAAATTAAGTCACCCCAGGAGACCAAAAAACTCTAATGAAATGGTTTTTTTAAAAATTACCATGGCACCACAAAATGAGGAGGAAGATGGAAAGGCTAGGGGAAAAAAGCAAAATAAACAAGCAAAGCTTTTCTGAATAAGTCTGAGCCTTTACCTGATGCCACAGATGAATCTCTCTTGACCCAGGAATTCAGAAAATGTTCTCCCTGAAGAAAATGAAAACTCAAGCTATTATATAAACTACTGTACATAAAATAAATAAGCCACAAGTATCTAACATACACATCCAATAATCTATACTGAATATATCCAATAAAAATTCTATATATATTGGATACATTCACTATATGAAGTGAAGTGAAGTCGCTCAGTCGTGTCCGACTCGTTACGACCCCCATGGACTGTAGCCCACCAGGTTCCTCAGTCCATGGGATTTTCCAGGCAAGAATACTGGAGTGGGCTGCCTTTTCCTTCTCCAGGGGATCTCCCCAACCCAGGGATCTAACCTGGGTCTCCTGCATTGCAGACAGACGCTTCACCATCTGAGCCACATGGGAATTCCCATTCACTATATATATCTATATATTACATATAGAGGTATGATATAACTATATATCAGGGGACATATCCAATATTCTACAGTGACTATAAATGGAGTATAACCTTTAAAAATTGTGAATCATTGTGTTGTATAATATTTTAGTTTGAGGCATACATCGACTATACCTCAATTTTAAAAAATTCAAGTTACTGATTTGAAGTATATTGTTATCTATGAGCAAAAATTAAAAGAACTCCCTCCTCCATCCACTGCCTGTAAATTAAGAGTTTCACTGAATTGAATGGTAGAGTTGTTAGAGGATTATTCCTCTAATTATTATTTATATTAATATTGACATTTTTTACAGTGTTATGGGAAAAGAAAACCTGTGGATGTTTATACTCAACAAGAAGCCTTTTCTGGGTCAGTTTTTCCAGAGATCCAACTCAAAAGCTAAGTTACAATAAGGTATCACAGAGGTCCTTTGACTAATGAGGAAGGTATGAGATATAGGAAGGAAACTGGATTCAGAGGGAAGGTTAAGTGTTGAGTAACTGATTCTTCTCTGAAAACTGCACCCAGATTTCTCTCTGAAGAAACACTTCTGCCCCTGCAGGGTTCTCATCTGAGTCATGTTAGCCAATAAATCCAGCCCTCTGCACTTTTTTTCTTTTTTGGCATAAGCCTGTGTAAGATAGGTTTTCCCAACACCGCCACTAGGGAAGTCATATCGATAGAGCATAGAGTAACCATCTCTGAGGCTTACTGTGGGTAGCGTCCTGTGGTCTGAATGTCTCGTGAGGATGCTCAGAGTGGGGCGCCCTAGGGAAGCCGGAGGAGCTGACCTCAGTCCAAGAGGAGAGAACCACCAGGAAGGCAGACCATTCTAAGGACTCTAGTTGACCAAAAGAACATATTTTTCTTCCCCCTGCCCAGTGAGAGGTAGGGAATGGAATAAAGGAAGAAGAAGGAGAGGCCATGACAAAAGAGGGATGTACTCGCCTCATTCTAATTAATTTATAAAAAAATTTTTTATAAATTACCATGATGCCAAATAGATAACTAATGAGAACCTACTGTAGAGCTCAGGGAACTCCACTCAATGTTCCATGGTGCCCTAAATGGGAAGGAAATACAAAAAAGAGGGGGTATATGTACAGCGCTTCCCACGTGGCACTAGTGGTAAAGAACCCACCTGCCAGTGCAGGAGATATTAGAGACNTATATGTGTGTATATATACATCATATGTATACATGTACACATGTGTATATGTATATATGTGTATGCATGTGTACATGTATGTATATGTATGTATATATGTATGTGTGTATGCATGTATATATGTGTGTATGTGTGTGCATGTATATCTGTATATCTACAGCATATGTATACATGTATATATGTATATGTGTGTATATGTATATGTATATATGTATATATGTATATATACAGCATATGTATACATGTATATATGTATGTATGTAGATATGTATATATGTACACATACAGCTGACTCACTTTGCTGCACAGCAGAAATCAACAGAACACTGTAAAGCACGTACCATCCAATAAAAATTAACTAAGAAGAATAATAAATTACCGTGACGTCAACAAATCCCTTGTAGCTTTGAATATACTGGGTAATTTCCTCTAAGGATTTCTTACTTTGAAGAAATTCACATCTATAATTAACAAACAAACAAAATTAAAGTTTGCCCTGATACTGTGATAGAGATATCCTGTATCTTTATAACTGCAGTGACACAAAATACATTCGTTAAAACTTATTACATTGTGTACTTTAAATTGCTCAATTCTTTTTTACTTTGATAAACTGTAAAAAAAGTTACCCCAAAATTTATGACAGTTATCTTTATTATCATATAATTACTATTTCCATTAATGATAACATGTATAATAATGCAAAACTAAATCTTCAGATTATCTTTCATCCTGAAACAAAACATAATATAATCAAAGAGATGGATTTATAACAATATTTAGATTGGAGGTGTTTTTGTTAAGCTAAACTACAGTGACAAACTAGTTCCTAGGCTTACATGAAAAACTACTTAGGTGGTAAAGCTAACAAATGATAATAAATTTCATCTATTGAAAAACATATATACTACTCCTTAGAAATATACAGTGGAAATTAATTGATAGAATTTTTTAAAAAGAGCATATTGAATACACTTAAAAAACACATTCCTTTCCACAGAACAGAAGCAATTTTAAGTTAACTTTTTAAAAAATCTCTCTCTTACAAATTTAAGCTTCCTTTCTAGTGACATTAGAGTAACAAGAGGGCTGAGAGTCAAGAGGCTAGAGTGTCAGTTCCACTTCTGCCACTCACGGGGAGGAGATAAACCTTTTTATTCTTTCTGTCACACCACCTCCCCTGCCCAAAGCAGTCAATCTCACCACTGTTCTCTCGAAAAGACGTGAGGAAGTGAACTCCATTAGAAGAGTCATACATTGCTCTGGGACCACCGCTCTGGGCCGCTGAGTCCCCAGGTTTTAGGTGTACAGATCCTTCCAAGGAGGGCTCCAAGTCCCCACACAACTCAAATCCATACACAACCCAAATCTGCACACAATCCACATAGCACATGAGGGATGGGGCCTCCCCACATGCTTACAGTGGGTTGAGAAGGAGCTCAATACACAGTGCTTCTTTTAAAAACACAATAAAAATCATTTTATTTATTTACAATGATTTAGTACACTGAGTGGGCTTTCCTGGTGGCTCAGACGGTAAAGAATCTGCCTGCGATGTGGGAGACCGGGGTTCGATCCCTGGGTTGGGAAGCTCCCCCGGCGAAGGGAATGGCAACCCGCTCCAGTATTCTGGCCTGGGAAATCCCATGGACAGTGGAGCCTGGCGGGCTACAGTTGACGGAGTCGAAAAGAGTCGGGCAGGACTGAGAGATAACACACACACAGTGCACTGAGCACTACATTCTAAATTGCAGGAACATACTCAGACATTGTGTCCACAGGTTGTAAAAGCAGCAACAAAGCAAAAAGTGATGCCCAGGGACCTCCTGATGGTCCAGTGGTTAGGACTCCACCTCGCAATGCAGGAGACGCAGGTTCCGGCCCCGCTCGGGGAACTGAGATCTCATGCTGCGGAGCAACAAAGCCCAAGCACCTCAGCTACCGACTGAGCCCACGCACCGAAACGAGCGAGCCCACGGGCAAAGGAAAGACCCTGAACGGCGTGACGAAGATAACATGTGCCACAACTAAGATCCGAAGCAGCCAGTGCATAAATACCTATTTTTAAAATGATGCCCAAACAGTTAAGGTTAGCGAACAATCAACAAGAAATTGGAGGAGTCTTATTAGTTCTAATTCCAGCTCTGAAATACACTGGCTGACCATATACTCGTGATGACAAACAGGTGAAAGGTGAAATGGTCATATAATACATGGTAGTTTTTACAAGGCATTTGCTCCATATACTTTGTTTACAATCCTTACAACAACCAACCAGCTATGGACTATCATTTGTCTTGACACACGAGATGCGGAGGTTCAGTAACATGGCTAGTGTCTGGGTGTCGGAAGCAGCGCTGGGCACCTCCGAGCCTCTGCGCTCTGCCCTCCCCTTGGCAGCAGCAAACCTGAGCTCCCTCCCGACCTGGGGCTGAGCCCGGGGCTCACATCTTGCCCCGGCGCTCCGACCTTTCCCTAGGCTGTGCATCAGGGAAGGTGTGTGAGGGCCGCCTGACACAGCATGTGCACTCTGGCTGGTTGCTAGACCATCGCCTGCGGGTGTGTGTGAATGGTGCTGCTGGGTGCATCCAGCCCGGGGACACTAAACACTGTGGCCCTAAGGATAAGTGAAGCACTGGCTGAGGCCAGAGCTGAGACAGGTGCCCAAGAGCCAGGCTTGATGGTCACTCGGTACATACCCAGGCGGTGCACTGCCAACACTAAGTATGACTGGCTGGGTGTCTGTTTTTGATTGGTCAACGGACCAGAATGACGCTCAAAGTATTTAACTATCTGGGGGAGCTCCCTGGTGGTCCAGTGGTTAAGATTCTCTATTTTCACAGCAGAGGATGTGGGTTTGATTCCTGATTGGGGAACTGAGATCCCAGAAGCCGTGAAGCACGGCCAAAAAGTAATCAATATTTAACCATATGGCTTCATGCATCCCTGTAACTGTTTCATATGCTTGTCAGGAAGAGCTCCCCTTCCTTCCTCTTTCCTCTCCATCTCTCTCTCCCCCAATCCCTTCTCTTCTCTGTTCTCTTCCTCCCTCCCACCCCCTCACTGTCTTTACAACTTTAAAAGAAATACATTTGTTTCCCAGAATTTAAACAAGATAGAGGTGAACAAAGTAAAATGTGAAAATCCCTCTCCACCTCATCTCCTGACAAACCCAAACCTTAATATACCGATTGTTTGATTTGTATATTTTAACTTTTTCCTCCATATATTTCAAACAAATCCATACACCACGCATTCATATTGCTTTTCTCCTTACTGAACAGATCAGACATCCTTCCATTTTTGTGAGCATGGCTGTCTATGTGACAGGTGACATGTAATCCTAAACAACAGCCCAGGTTTTTTGTGGTTGACCTAAGATCTAACCAGCAACCTCTTTGCATGTGGTAGGTACATGACCAGAATGTTAAATAAAATGAGCCAAAGCCCACTGCAGATCCAATTATTAGATTACAGGAAATACAGGAAGTAGAGAAATATGTTAAATGACACCAGAAGAACATTCAGCCAAACCCAGGGCTGGAAGTTTTACAGGACGGACTACATGGCTCCTTTCATGAGAAAGTGACAAGAAAAAGTCAGGGAGGAGGAAATCTGTAAACTAAAAATCTTGAGACATCAACCAAATGTAACTTATGGACCCTGTTTGCATCCTAATTCAAATCAGTAAAGAGAGTAAACAGTAAAGAGAGAAGGGATGTGGACATTTGAACACTGCCTCAGATATTTTATGTGATTGAGGAATTACTGCTAATCCTCTTTAGGAGGCAGAATCATACTATGGTTATGTTTTTAAAAAATATTCTTGCATTTTAGAGTTATATGCTAAAATATCAACAAGTGACATTATATAATATCTGGGATTTGCTTTAAAATAATCTAGTTATTTTTATTTCTGGGGAAAGGTATGTGAGAAGTGAATGAAATATGATTTGGCCATGTGTTGATAAGTGGTCTCTATACTTGCATATGAAATTTTCCAGAATGAAAGTTTTAAAAATTTTAAAGGAATGAATTCATATTTGGTAGATACAATAATGTAGAAAAATACTAGTAAATGTAACATTAGAAATAATTTTAAAAACATGTCATTTTTTAAGCAGAGAACTCAACACCACTGTAATAATCAAAACTCTTACTGAGTTTTTGAAATACAATGTTTACATTTGGTATATATTGAGCAGTACATGAAACCATTTGTAATGAGGTTTTAAACAAGTTTACATCATCCCAATATAAATTATCCATATTTATTAAGGCAGATTCTGAAACTTCTACTTGGCAAATCATATCTTAGTATTTTGGATAATAAAACAATATTAAGAAACTATTTCAAAATTATATAAATAAAAAACTTCACAATGTCATCAGGGATTTCTTGCTTGAATAAATTCTGGAGCATTCTTATTTAGGAAGGAGAAAGGTCAAAACTGAAAGTTCTGCTCTGGGAAGGTGATGCTTTAGTTTTGCTTTGTCTTAAAAAAAATTACAAGCAAAAAATATTTATCTACTTACTTAGGGAACCACTTGGCATGTTCCTTCCAGGGATCATCATCGTCTTCCCAATTTCCTAAACATCCACCACAGGAAAAGCACTGGACAATGTCACGTTTACCTACATATGAAGCAAGACACTTAGATTGCCTGGCAACAGCACCATGGGATCGTCCAGAAGGGGTGTCTCTGCAAGCTGACTGCCCTGGGCATGGATGAGACGTGCTCCATCACGTCTGCTCATTCACACTCTCATCTGGTTGAATCCCCATCCACAGTCCCACTGCCCTCAGTGACCATTTTTGAAGCCTGAACCTCACCTCTCAGCAGTGGCCATACCTCACACACAGAACTCCAAGCTGTTGAACTCAACATGCCCACCGAAGCAGTGGGAAAGCAAAGGAACCCTATACTCATGAAGTAAAGAACAGAAGACCTAAGCCGTAGCTTTGCTATGAAATTTCTGTGGAAACTTGGGCATATTTTTTTCTACTTCTGAGGTGTATGTTCAACAANATGGCAACCCACTCCAGTATTCTTGCCTGGAGAATCCCATGGACAGAGGAGCCTGGCGGGCTACAGTCCACGGGGTCACAGAGAGTCAGACACGACTGAGCGACTCAGCACAGCACATCGTTGATTAGCAGTGTTGTGAGTTTCAAGTGGACAGCAAAGGGACTCAGCCACACACATATGCACGTATTCATTCTCTCCAAACCCCCCTCCCATCTAGGCTGTCACAGAACACTGAGCAGAGTTCCCTGTACTATACAGTAGGTCTCTGTTGGCTATTCTTAGGCACATTTCATAAGCTCTTTGGGCCTCAGTGACATTGGCTGAGAAAGGCAGGAAAAGGACAAGTTTGTTGGATTAGTGCAAGTGCTTAATCCGTGCCTGGTGGGGGTGGTGGGCCTAGCATCAAGTAGGTACTCAGTAAATGACAGCCGTATGTATTAATCAGGACTCTCACTCATATCTGTCATGACACATATGGCGTGGCTAGGACAACTCAAACAATGGACAATTTATTCAGCATTCTTGCCTGGAGAATTCCATGGACAGAGGAGACTGGTGGGCCCCTGTCCACAGGGTCACAAAGAGGTAGATATGACTCAGTGACTGAGCACACACACACACTTTTCTGAAATGCAACTTGACCTATATGCTATAATTAAACTTAAGGTCAAACACACACCAACACCCTCCAATACTGCAACAATTAAAAGAACAACCATTTAAGAATTTAAAAGAAGCATTTAAAAGAATCAGAGAACAACCATTTAAGAGCAGTAAAAGGAGGATGGGTAAGAAGGAGACTAGGGTCAGGCTGACCTCACAGTTTATTTTCAGGGCCTTAGAAAACAGTCAAGTATTATCTAATGTCCAAAGTTTTAGAAAAAGTCACTTTCTTATTTTGCATATATTTTTGGTAAACTGACATGCTGTATTAAAGCTAAAGTAAAATTACTGGAGTTGAATCTTGAGGAAATAGATGTACCTAGTATATAGCATGTTGACCAACAGAGCAAAATATTGCAACTGAACCTAAACTTAATTCCAGTGAAATATTTCAGAAAATGATTTAAAATTACCTGTAAAGACAAAGCCAGCAGCCGAGAGCTCCCTTGGGGCCGTCCCTTGGGCATAAAATGGCCAGTTCTTGAAGGATTCAAGTCTGGCCTTCTCTTCTTGGTACCTTGCTTTGTCGTCCGTCCTCAACATGTTCTCTGGATTCTGAACTCTTACATCATACTTGGCAATGTTGCCAACATCTTTACCCAGAAGGAACTCACAGTCTGGATGGAATTTCCTGTGGTGTCCCATGGGGGGACTCTGGAGGCTAGTACCAAACAGGATTAAGCTACAGCAGAAGCACTGAACGCTAGATTTTGTGCCAGTGAAATAAAACCCAGCTTCTGCCATCTCCTGGGGCGTCCATGAGCTGAAGGTGTCATATGTCACAAAAGTCTTTAACCTTTTTGCTTCACTACGCATTTGTGAATTAAAGCCTTTTTGCATTTTTTCTCTGTCTTTGTGCTCTTGTTCTTCTATCTCCTTTACGTATTGAAGGGCATTTATACCTAGGAAAGCAGACATCTCTGGGAGCAAAGCATAATCAAACTGAGAAATCCTCTCCTCAGGGGCTTTCTCCTGGGCGGCCATTTTCTGAAAAGGGATAAAAGAGGTTCATCACTTGGTTTACTAGTTCTGAGATTTGTTTAAACCCTTTTTCTTTCTTTCTTTTTTTGTTTTTTTTTTTGCTGGCTATACCATATTTTTTAATTGGAGGATGATTGCTTTACAATGTTGTGTTAGCTTCTGATGTACAACAACAGACTGCAGCTCACCAGGCTCCTCTGTCCATGGGATTCTCCAGGCAAGAACACTGGAGTGAATTGCCATTTCCTTCTCCAGGGGATCTTCCTGACCCAGGGATCAAACCTGGGTCTCCTGCATGGCAGGCAGATTCTTTACCATCTAAGCCACCAGGGAAGCCCACACAAGATGTGAATATATCCCCTCCCTCTAGAGCTTCCCTTCCACGCCCCCCGCCCATCCCATCCCTCTAGGTCATGACAGAGCACCCAGCTGCGCTCCCCGCGCTCCAAGGCAGCTTCTGAATAGCTACCTGCTTTACACATGTATGTCGTATGTGTGCATATATGTCAATGCTGCTCTTAGTTCGTCCACCCTCTCCTTCCTCTGCTGTGTTTCAACCCTTTACTCTTGTTTTTTCTTCTGAATTACATTGCTCTTCTGCTTATAATTTACTCTAATTCAGAGAAAATATGCTAGTAGGTCTGTATCAGTGGACCTTTATCCTGCCTTCAACACTAAGGTCACCTATGGACTCCAAGTAGCTGGAGGCTCCCTTATCATAGCATCACTTAAGACAAAAGGATAGATTAGGGGAAATCTGTATCATCACATAACAAGTTCAAAGACACATGCTTGCATTCTCAACATTTCAGGAATCAACAAAGTATTTAATGCCTACAGGTGGAGTTGGATAGTTCCAGTGACCAACTTTGCTGTGTGCCCTGCCTTAATCAGGCTCGGCTGCTTTGGAATTTGCCCATCTACCCACATTTCTGCAGAAGTTGCAGCTCACTGAAGGTCTTGTTTAAGCCCAAGCGTGCCCTTCATCTGGCAGTACTCAGTGTAAAGAACTCCTTTGTCTCAAAGATGTAAGTCCACTTCAGCAGCGGTTCCTCAAGAAGCTCTCATCAGTCCACAAGGTTACTGGGCTTTTGACTGAAGAGCGTCTTCATTTCAGTTTCTGTCTTCATGCGCTCTCCCCGTAGAATTCCTTTAGCAGTTAGCAGGTAAGGGTCACGTTCAGGCCAAAAGAAGTATCTGCTCAACTCTCCCTTTGGTTTCAAGTTCCTTCCCTTTACAGAAGAAACCAGCCAAAGCCTGGTGGACTTGGCAGCCTAGGGCTCTTCCTTAGTACTTTCTTAGTACTTTCATTTTTACCAAAGCAGCCCAGACCATGAAAAGGGGGAGAAGGTTACCTGACACTGGGCTGGCTGTTGAGGCCTGCCTCGTTTTCCTTGCTGTTTTTGACAGAATTCTCCTCTCTGAATTTCTGTTTTAACCTATTTAAATGCTTCCGCTGGCTCTGGGTCTACCACCTTTAAATTCCATTGCTGGGGGTGGCGGGGAGGAGAGGGGATAGATTAAGAATTGGGGATTAATGGATACATGCTGTGCTGTGTTGTGTTTAGTCACTCAGTCGTGTCTTACTCTCTGTGACCCCATGGACAGCAGTCCACCAGGTTCCTCTGTCCATGGGATTCTCCAGGCATGAATACTGGAGAGGGTTGCCATGCCCCCCTCCAGGGGATCTTCCTGACCCAGGGATCAAACCCAGGTCTCCAGCATTGCAGATTAATTCTTTACTGTCTTGAGCCACCAGCAAAGCCCAAGAATACAGGAGTGGGTAACCTATCCCTTCGCCAGGGGATCTTTCCAACCCAGGAATGGAACCAAGGTCTTATGCATTGCAGGCAGATTCTTTACCAGCTGAGCTATTAGGAAGGCCCATAAATCAACTATACTTCAATTTTTAAAAATAGCAAAAAAAAAAATCTATTGGTAGGTTTTCCCCCCATGAATAATTATAGTTCTAGAGTGAATTGAAATCAGGATGCCTTCATCAGCCAACCTGGCATCAGTGGTTCTAGGTAGTTCTCCCACTTTTTTTTCTCCTAAACAAAGCCTGAGCCAGCATTTAAATAATCAAGTCAAAAATTGTTCCCATAATCCCATTCACAGTGCCAACTTCAGCAAGTACACAGGGTCAGATAATAGAAAACACTCACAAGCCTCTACATAGTATACTTACTTTAGACTTTAATAAAGTTAAAAGATATGATACAAAAATAAAAACAAAAGACAGGCAAACATCAGCGTGGTCTCAGACTCCAGGCCCAGCTTCTAGGAACCTTTCTCCATTATACAGCCCATGCTTCATTTTAGGTAATGAACCACCTAGATACTTGCTAGGTACCTTTGCCTCAGGGAAACCACTCTCTCAGCTAAGGAGGGATATTCTATGCTGCTTCGGTCACGCAGCCCAAAGTAGGACACCTGACTTGTCTCAAACAAGCTGGAATGGGCTGCCCCAGCCTCTCAGAGTCTAGCACAGGGCTACATTCACCGCTGGCTTCCCTGGAGATAAATAAGCACAGGGTGGCAACAAACTAACTGGAGTCACTCCTGCACGTCTACAAAGTTCGAGGGTCAGTTTTGCTAGTCCCGGGGCCTTTCTGGGGAGATCGCCAAGGCCCTCTCCAGGTTTCATGCTCTTTAACTGCAGTGCTAAGAGTACCAGTGCTGCTGCTGTGTCGTGGAAAGATTTAAGTCCCCATCTGTGACTCCAGGGCCTGCCGTTTTGCCTCCAAAGAGAGAAACAAGAGTACGAGAAATAAGAGGCTCATAAGTGGAAAAGTACTTTTGCCAGAGATGGTAATTTACTTACCTGGAAGTTTATCCAGAGTCCCAGCTGAATGGAAGGAGAATGTAGAAAATAAATACAACTATTCTCTTTGTCCTTTTAATGGGAAGCAGCAAGAACACATTTGAGGAACTAACACCCAGAACAAGTTGCAATTTCCTGAGAAACCACAAGTAACTTCTCTAGGGTACTGAGTCAGCAGGGTTAGTCAGGACTCCAAAGCCTCACAAAACCAAGTCCCACAACAGAAGTATTTTATTCTAAATAATTTAAGACTGGTTAATGTTTCCGCTGCTAGTACATACCTGTCTGTATTTCTTTGGTGTTAGTTTCCATCTTTCCTGTATCTTTTTAGGGTTTTCTCTTTTATCCATGGGTTATAAAATCTCAAAGTTATTGTGTCTTGGTGTGGGTCTTTCTCCATTTAGTGAACTCAGCGGACTTGTTTCAAGCTGAATGTGTGGGCCTCCCACCAGTCCCAGGAAATTGTCTTCTATAATTTCTTTGTTAATTTCCTACTGCCTACTATTCTATTTTCACTCTTTCTGGTATTCCCATTATTCAGATGGGAATTTATCACCAAAGTTCCTTTTTTTTTTTGCTCATATATTCTCTCCGTCCTTTGGCTGTACTCTCTTCACTATCTTCCAACTTTCCAATAGTAATTCTAAATTCAGCAATTATACTTTCAATTTCCCACAGCCCTTCTTTGTTGTCTCTTTCACGAGATCTAATTTTCTCAGCCAACATAATTTTTTAAAATCTCTCCTGCAATACTGTCAAACAACAAAACTACAATGAGCTTGTTGCTCTTTGTCAAGGGAAAAGGATCCGTGGACGGGAGGAGCACATGTCTCAGGGCAAGGGAGTGCTGCTCCAAAGGGAAGGCCGGGGGTTCGGGGGGCGGAGAGTAAAGGTAGGTTTAGAGGGAAGAGGCGTGATTGGTCAGGAGGCCAGGGATTCATTAAAGGGTAGCATGTCCTGGTTTTCTAGGGTCAGGTAAACTAGGTAAAGCTGAGTTGGGGGTATTGTGATTGGTGTATACTAGGTTTCATTGACAGGTGTTTCCTTTAAGCGCTGGCTGACCTGGATTTAGATTTGTGACTTGCGCCAGGCCACTGAGGTCATTCCCATTTTGTGGGTCTGATATACAAATTATCTTTACCAGTACTAATCCAAATAGAGTTCATCTGTCTCCTGAATGATCTGTTTCCTCCAAGGCTAATTACTATTTACCTTTATGTTGAGATTTTTCACATTACCAGCTTTCCTCAAATGTGTACAGATCCATGGTTTTCAATTCATGTTTGAAAATTAGGCGATTGCAAAGCTGACTGATCAAAATTCTGGTTAAAGAGTCTGATCAAAAGCCATGTGAGTGTGATCTGAACTTTACGGAGGAAGATTGGGGAGCTAAGACTTGCTCAGGAGAAGCCCTCAACTTCAGAGAAACACCTCAGAAAATGATTTCAAGTCAGTTGTAAATTCAGAGATAGCAGCTGAAAACTCATCTGAGGAACATAAAAAGACCAATTTTTGAAGGATTCTTTGTTTGGGGATGCCCAGGACTCACAGTAGCTCCTCTAAGTCAGTTTATTCCATTTTTTTTTAGAAGAGAAGAATCCACTAACGCTTTGCCTCAGCAATAACACCTGCATAGTAAACAGTCTGACGGTGGGGCAGAGGGAGCTGGCAGTCTCTCAGGTATTTTCAGTTAGTCCCTTGGTTTTCCTGCCCACCTTCTTAGCTGGCATTCTGGGCCACCTGCGGCTCCAGGGCCCTGTACAAGGTACGCAGTCTCCCAGGTGTTACATGTGTATTCAGGCTGCGGGCTCTGTCCGTCTGCTTCGTTGGTCACTACTCTTCTATTTGAGTTTCCATCTTCCAAAAGTTTGTTAAAATATTCTGGGTGCTGAGGGTCCCCTCCTGCTTTCTTAATTTTTCTGGGTTTATAGTTTCAAAAATCATTTCATGATATTATGCATAATAACTAAAATTTGTTTAGCACCTACTACTTGCCAGGCACAGTTCTAAGCACCTTAGATATGTCCATTTAATCCCTTTAACAGTCCAAATCAAATAGCTATTTTTATTATCTCCACTTTACAGATGAGGAAACCCAGGCATATAGGGGTTTTGATTAATCAGTCTGGAAATGGAGTTTACACTTCTAACCACTGTGCCATAAAGCCTACATATTAAGAAAAGGCAAAAACAGGTATCCCTCTCCATTTTGGTAGTTCAGCCAGTTGCTGAGTTAGAGAGGCAAACTGTTACCAGCCCCACTGGCACGTGAACTCTTCTGGCCAGGCCCTGGTTCCACAAGGCCATCTACTTAGCCTAGAAGCAATCATTGTTAATAGCGGACTCCTCCGAACTTTCGTATTAACACAAATAATATTACAATGACAGTGTTTTTCTGGTACATCCAGCTGCTTCAGGGCCAACAATTCTTTCTACAGGAAGTTCAAAGGTCAGAGGGAACTCTCTACATTGTGACCCTTCTGCTGATAAAATTCTGCCCCATCAACCTGCTTCTCACCTATAATGTTTATATACACCAGTGCACACTACATTTATTTTAGCTCCTTGTAGATTTTGTTACCCTTATGAATTTAATTTTTTTTTTTTACTATTTTCTAAATGTTTATTGATAATATATAGGACTCCTGGTCTACTTTTAACATCTGATTGTAAATATTCTTGAATTTTCTAAGTAGATATTTGTATTATCTGAATATTATGATAGTTTTGTCTTTAGCATAATGTTGCTTAATAACAGTGACAATAGATATCTTATTCTTGACTTCAGCAGGAATTCTAAAGTTTGAAGATATCTAGTAGATACCCTTTATCAGTTGAAAGAGCTTCTCTTCTACTCCTAGTGACAGGAAAAACATCTGCACAGTCTTAACTGGAAAAAGATATACATACCACCTCTACATAGCAGAAAGGGGGAAAAACCTCCAAAGAAAGAAAATGTGGGTAGCCAAAAAACAGACACAAATGTCCACTACACAATCTGAAAAGAGAATCTGACGTTTTGAGTTTTAAAATAATACTATTTTCAATGCCTTTTTTTAACCAAAACATGCATACACACCTAGAGAGAAGTATCATTTAGCCATTTTAGGGCACAGGCATGTATCTCATCATGGCTTTAATGACTTAACTGGCTATTCATATACTTCCTTTGGTAAGGTGATCAAATCTCTTGCCCATTTCTTAATTACTTTTTGGTTGTGTCAGGTCTTCCTTGCTGCTCGTGGGCTTTCCCTAGTTGCAGAGAGTGGGGGCTATTCTCTAGTTGCGGCATTCAGGCTCCTTAATTGTGGCTTAAGAGCTGGTTTCTCTCATTGAGGAGCATGGGCTCTAGGTGCACAGGCTTCAGGAGTTGCGGCACGTGAGCTCAGTTGCTCAGTGGCATACGGGATCTTCCTGGACCAGGGATTGAACCTGAGTCTCCTCCACTGGCAGATGGATTCTCATCCACTGTACCACCAGGGAAGTCCTTGCCCATTTTTAAGCTGGGTTGTTTAGGAGGAGGATTCTGCGGTGGTGCTTGACAGTACTGCTGTCCTCATGGTAGAATGAGCTCGCCAAGGCAGCTGCCACCAGCATCTCTGTCCCCAGGGAGTGACTGGAGATGTGAGCATGCACAGCCACACCTGTGAGGGAAAGCCAGTGACATCAAGGCTGGCTGTAATCTGTGGAACATCTTGTCACATGGGGATAGGCACAAAACTGAATTTTTCTACCAAGCATCTGGGCACTTGTTTCTAGCCATGGTCCCTGGGTTTTGGCTGAATGAAAGTGGTCAGTGTTGGTGGAAAATTGATAGACCACATGGAACAGGGTCATGCCAACTTTCCAGATGACATTTAAGCAGTCACCTGGATCTGAGTAAGAAGGCTTAGCTTGTGGGGTTCCTCACTGTTGATTTACATGTTTGGTGAGATTTCCACAGCAAGCAGTCTCCTTCAGCAGATCTGACACTAAAGGGGATGGCCTCTGGATTGAAATGTTTTAAGTTTTAGTACTATTTTCAATGCCTTTTTTTAACCAAAACATGCATACACATCTAAGGAGCTGTATCATTAGCCATTTTAGGGCATAGGTATGTATCTCATTGTGGTTTTAACTTAATGACTTAATTGGCTATTCATGTATTTCTTTCTTTACGGCCTCTGGACCTTGACGATCTTGCCATTCTCTACCTGCTCTCAAGGCGTGCATCAGTAAGAAGCCAGGTAGGCAGCTGGGCACCCTGTCAGCACTCTCTTCTTGTGTGGGGGCCTGAACAAGAATCCCGTGTCTGTGCAAATGCGTACAGACATTACTGGCAGGCCTGTGGTCCTGTCACAAGAGGGGGAATCTGTCCTTGTGCGTGCTGCTAGTCTGACAGCTTGTGCCTCAGGGTGTTTCACTTCTGTACAGGAGGTCATGGCAAAGAATGAGCCAAGTTGGGAAAGCTGTGCATTCCAGATGAGAGGATAAAAGATTCCATGACAAGAAATAGCAAATATTCTTGAAGCTGGTTGAACACCAGAAAGAGTATGCAACAATCAAGAAAGGAGGTCTAACAAAGCCTGCAGGTGCTAATGCCAGATTTTATGTCATTGCATTGGGGACCTTGGTCATTGCAGCATATATTGAGGACCCTTAGACATCATTTCATGATTTCTATACTGTCTTTCAATTTAAAAATACCTGGGACATGTGCAGTCAGAAAAAACAGTAAAAATAAGATAAATTGGTCATTTATTGAACGCAAGAATTGTTTATATATTTTTAGACACGAGTCTTCTGTTATATGTTTGCACTGCAAACATGTTCTCCCTGTCTATGAACTCTTTTTGTTTTCTTAATGGAGTATTCCAAAGCAGATGTTTTAAATTTTGATGAAGTCTGACTTTAATTTTCTCCTTTTAAGATAGATGCTTTTTGTGTCCTAAGAAATCATCACCTACTCTTAAGATTGTGATGATGTTCTAAAAATTAACATTTGTGTGGTTTTAAAAAATTAGATGTCAACATTTAAAACTTAGGGAATTCACTTAAAAGTCCAGTTTTTCAGTTTCTATTTAAATATTAAAATATACAGCCTGAGGGAAACTACATTTTCAGAAATAAAAAATAGGTTGGAGCTGAGTAATAGTTACCTCCTTTGAAAAAACTTTTTTCTTGTGGACTAGGTTAACAGATGCCCATGTATAAAATTCAAAAGGTACAAAAGGGTGTACTGAGACTGCATCTCTCCACCCCTGCTCCAAGCATCCAGAGGCTGCCTCCTGCAGATGGAACCGGTACTTTTCAGGTGCTTACCACTTTGCATTAACCTGGCTCCTTTTCAAGTATTTGCATAACCTGCCCGGTCTCCTCAGGTATTTGAATTTGCACCAGAGCCCATGTCACAGCCTCTCTTCTGCACTCCCATGCACTTGGCAAATCATCAGCACTGTCACATGGAGCTCTTTACAGGTCTGCCTCTTAGGCTGGGAGGGTCACAGGGCCGCAAGGTCAGGGTTTGTTTCCTCTTCTTGGTGTCTATATCCAGACACAAAGGGTCTCATCAGACAGACGGCAGATGTACAAGGTTTGCTGAGTGAACTAATGGGTAAATGAACAAATTGTGTATTACTTCCTGTGCCCTGGCCTGAGGTGTGACTCAAGTAACAATTTAGTCAGGTGAAATCAAGAATTTATATCCCATAAGGACTCCATCTACGTCCCCAGCCCACCGTGTAACAGGTCTCCACAGCACAGAACTGGAAGACAAGGGAAGAAAACAATGACTCTCCTATTTTTACAGAACTGGACCCAAAAGGGGGATCAGGACACTCTGAGGCTATTTCTCAGAAGCATGACGATCTCCTATGCTCTTTTCTTCCTTACTATAGGCCCTGGGGACTCATGGTTCTTGCTCTTTCTCCTAAACTCTCATCCACTACAGACAGGGGAATTCTACTGCCCCACTTCCCAAGGGCTGGTTGTACCGCCCTTTCTTTTCGCCATTCATGAAGGCACTTCATGTTATAAGTGTGCTGATCGTTACAGAGGTATAGACAGCTGAACACAGAGAGGACCACAAACGAGGAATTTCGCAGATTGAGAACTCTTACAAAATGTTTACAGTTCCTCTTCCCTACTGCCATTCTGAGCAACAGTGAAGTGAAAGTCACTCAGTCGGGTCCGACTCTTTGTGACCCCACGGACTATACAGTCCATGGAATTCTCCAGGCCAGAATACTGGAGTGGGTTGCCATGTCCTCCTCCAGGGAATCTTCCCAACCCAGGGATTGAACCCAGGTCTCCCGCATTGTGGGCGGATTCTTTACCAGCTGCGCCACAAGGGAAGCCCAAGAATATTGGAGTGGGTAGCCTATCCCTGGATCTTCCAGATCCAGGAATCGAACCGGGGTCTCCTGCATTGTAGGTGGATTCTTTACCAACAGAGCTATCAGGGAAGCCACCTCTGGGCAGCAGAATCCCTGTTTTCCCCTCACTGTTTCAACATAAGTGAGTGTTTCAATTGTGACAGGCACTCAGATATATAGTGGGTCAACTTGTGCTCCTCAAATACGAGCCTTAACATGCTTTTAATCTAACTCCTTATCTTCTTCAGCCTCCACATAGTGCTGCCATCTTCACCTTGTAGTTACTCTAGGGCAAACAAGGTCACAACAAAATAGAAACAGTGCACATACTGTCACATATAGTTGGAACGTATTGTTTACACTATGACCCAAATAAATGAAAAAGCAATTTTCCTACAGTTCATCTTCAACCTCCAGCTCCATACCCACGGCTTTATTTGATGAACACGACTGCTTTCAGGTCCTTAACTAATAACTAACATTAGTTACTTTACTTTCATTTGTCTCACCACAGCTTCCCAGGATTCCACAAATTTTATTATTTTTGAATACTAAACTATATAAAAATATTTTAAAATAAGTCTTACTCTCACCCATTGTTCCTACGTATTCTTCCAATGTTTCCTTTTATTTATTTTTAAACTTTATTTCTTTGGCTGCATGGTGTAGCTTGTGAGATCTTAGTTCCCCAACCAGGGATCGAATCTGTGCCTGCTGCACTGGAAGTACAGAGTCCTAACCACTGGGCTGGCAGGGAATTTCCTTATTTTTTTTTTTTTTAAAGCTTTATTTATTTTTTGGCCATCGTGGGTCTTGGTCACTGTGCATAGGCTTTCTCTAACCGTCTCCTGTTGAGGAGCACAGGCTCTGGGCCTCTGGGCTTCAGTAGCTGCAGCTCCCAGGCTCTGGAGTGCAGGCTCAGTCCTTGTGATGCACGGGCTCAGCTGCTCCAAGGCATGTGGGATCTTCCCGGACCAGGGATCCAACAGGTGTCCCTTATGTTCCAAGACTGATTCTTAACCATTACACCACCAGGGAGGCCCCCAAATTCCCTCATTTAAAAAAAACAAAACAGCTTTCGTGACATATACTTCACATACCATACAACTTAACCTATTCAAAGTGTGTGATTCAGTGGTTTTTAGTACTTTCACAGAGTTGAACAATCATCACCACAGTCAATCTTACAACATTTTCATCAGTCCAAGGACAAACTCCATACTCATTAATACTCACTCTTGCCCCCAGCTGTCTGTAGTATTCCCCTGTGATCTTTATTTCTGTGAGGTCCAAAGTGATGTTTCCTCTTTCACTCTTGATTTCAGTAATTTGAGTCCTCTTTTTTCTCTTGGTCAGCTTAGCAAAATATTTGTCAACTGGTTGGTCTAACTTTTGGTTTCACTGATTTCCTCTATTGCTTTCCACTGCTTCTTTTTGCAAATACAAATATATATTTTTATTTTTCTTTCTTCCTTACATAGCAGGTAGCATATTATATATCCTGAACACTCATATATTCTGAAGAGTATACTTTTGGTAGAAGGAAAATGATCCTCAACAGATCTGAGATATAAGAGTAAATCACGAGCCAAGAAAGTGGTAAATATGTGATCAAATCATAATAAACACTAACTGGTTAAAACAAATATAAATGTCTAGTGAAACACCAAAAGAAATATACAATGGTAATAATATATAAGGAAGGAAGGAGGTAAAAGAGGGTAAATATATTATCTGTGGGGAGGGCAAAGGTACAACTTAACTTCAGGTCTGACGTTATGTAGGAGTACTGGAAGCAGTGCTTCCTCAGATTCTCTTGGCCACCTCCTCCTTTCCAAGGTGCTACTTGCCTCCACCTCTGCACTGCTGCTGCCTTTGCCTAGCTTCCTGAGCTGGCTGGAGTCCAAACTGAAGTGCACCAAGCCTATCTGACTTCACAGAATTGGGTGCAGTGCCATACCACTGACTTCTTTCAGTTCAGTTCAGTTCAGTTGCTCAGTCGTGTCCAACTTGTTGTGACCCCGTGGACTGCACCACGCCAGGTTTCCTTGTCCATCACCAACTCCGGGAGCTTGCTCAAACTCATGTTCATTGAGTTAGTGATGCCATCCAACCATCTCATCCTCTGTCGTCCACTTCTCCTCTTGCCTTCAATCCTTCCCAGCATGAGGGTCTTTTCAAATGANACTATTCAACTTCAGCTTCTTCAGCATTACTGGTTGGGGCATAAGCTTGGATTACCGTGATATTGAATGGTTTGCCTTGGAAACGAACAGAGATCGTTCTTTCATTTTTGAGATTGCATCCAAGTACTGCATTTTGGAGTCTTTTGTTGACTGTGATGGCTACTCCATTTCTTCTAAGGGATTCCTGCCCACAGTAGTAGATATAATGGTCATCTGAGTTAAATTCACCCCTTCTAGTCCATTTTAGTTTGCTGATTCCTAAAATGTCAATGTTCACTCTTGCCATCACCTGTTTGACCACTTCCAATTTACCTTGATTCATGGGCCTAACATTCCAGGTTCCTATGCAACACTGCTCTTTATAGCATCAGACTTTACTTGCATCACCAGTCGCATTCACAACTGGGTGGTGTTTTTGCTTTGCCTCAGCCTCTTCATTCTTTCCTGAGCTATTTCTCCACTCTTCTCCAGTAGCATACTAGGCACCTATTGACCTGGGGAGTTCATCTTTCAGTATCATTTCTTTTTGCCTTTTCATACTGTTCATGGGGTTCTCAAGGCAAGGATACTGAAGTGGTTTGCCATTCCCTTCTCCAGTGGACCATGTTTTTTCAGAACTCTCCACTATGACCTGTCCTTCTTGAGTGGCCCTACACAGCATGGCTCATCGTTTCACTGAGTTAGACAAGGCTGTGATCCATGTGATCAGTTTGCTTAGTTTTCTGATTGTGGTTTTCATTCTGTCTGCCCTCTGAAGGATAAGGATAAGAGGCTTATGGAAGCTTCCTGATGAGAGGGCCTGGCTGTGGGGGAATCTGAGTCTTGCTCTGATGGGTAGGGCCATGCTCAGTTCAGTTTAGTTCAGTTGTTCAGTCATGTCTAACTCTTTGCGACCCCATGGACTGCAGCATGTCAGGCTTCCCTGTCTATTACCAACTCCTGGAGGTTGCTCAAACTTATGTCCATCGAGTTGGTGATTCTATCTAGCCATCTCATCCTCTGTCATCCACTTGTCCTCCTGTCTTCAATCATGCTCAGTAAATCTTTAATTTTCTGTTGATGGGTGGGGCTGACTGACTTCCTTAGCAATTTCCAAAGGATAAAGAATCTGCCTGCAATGTGGCATACCTAGGATCGATCCCTGGGTTGGGGAAATCCCCTGGAGTAGGAAATGGCAACCCACTCTAGTATTCTTACCTGGAGAATCCCCATGGATAGAGAAGCCTGGCGGGCTGCAGTCTATGGGGTTGCAAAGAGTCTATGCGACGGAATGACTAAGCACAAAGGACCAGATGACACTGCACTGGCTGGCCAATGGGAAATGGGAGAAGTCAGGAAACTGCATTACTCTTCCTTCCTCCCTTCGATGGACTGCACAGAGGGGCAGCTCCTCCTTATAAATCAATCTTCTGGAGATGTCCCAAACTCTTAAGTGAACACACTTGCTGGGAGACCTTATGATTTTTCACAGTTCGTCATCAAATCTGGCCACCATGATAACACATTGTTTTTCCTTGTCTCACTTTCCCTTTTTCTCCTTATCTTTGTATCCCTGATCCACACCCCCCAAATAAAGTAGCAACACTTTCACCTTTGCTGGACATTCTGCTTTCTAGAGGACCCAACTTAAGGATTTATGTGTACCATAATTTCTAGGATAACCACTAAAAGAATAAAAATAAAGTATACAATTTGCAAACTAGTTGAGGAAAACACAGAATGGTGGGAAACAAGCAATCCAAAAAAAGGCAAAAAAAAGAAGAGAAAAATGAAGATAGAATAACTGAAGCAAATAGCACGAAGTAGGATGGTATATTTAAACCAAAATATATCAGATACAGCTGGTGATGATATCAACACCATCAAAAATCAAATAAATAGCTTATTATTTGTGAAGAAAGTATGTGACTCAAGAATACATCGGTTGCAGTCAGGCAAAGTGAGTAAAATACTCTTGAATTAATATTTAACTATAGATAATTTCTGTTCATTAAAATATCTAGCAAATGACAAAAGGTTGAGTATTAACCAGTTTGGTGTTTTACTGAAGAACTAAAAATTTAGAAAAAATTTATATTACACAATGTAGTAAGCATTTATTTAAAAGCTAATGAGATAAAAATACTGCATGAAAAGTAAAATTTTTTTTTCTTGATTTATGCATTTATCTACTCATGTCATTTATTCAAAATTCAACATTTACTGAATTTTGTACATTGGACACCATTTTAGATGGATCTAACAGACGGAAATCTCTCTCATGAAGNATTTATTAAAAAGCTAATGAGATAAAAATACTGCATGAAAAGTAAAATTTTTTTTTCTTGATTTATGCATTTATCTACTCATGTCATTTATTCAAAATTCAACATTTACTGAATTTTGTACATTGGACACCATTTTAGATGGATCTAACAGACGGAAATCTCTCTCATGAAGAGAGATTACATTTTAGTTGCAGAATCAGAAAATAAACCAATATATACATTGATATATTATGTAAAAAATGTAAAAGTAAGTGAAATGTGAAAAAATAAAGTATAAAAAAACCCCCTAAAATGTGAAAGAAAATAAGTAAAGCAAATTAGGGTGGTAGAGAATGTCAGAGTGGTTTAGATAGATGCTAAGAGATCTGGTGACATTTGAGCACAGAGAGATCTGAATAATATGAGAGAATCCTGTGAAATTTTTTTTTTCTTTTTTAAATCTTTCATGCAAAGGTGAGAGCACATGTGAAGTCCCTGGAATAGGAACGTGCCTGGTGAGTTAGAGGTCATTGTGCCTCATCTTCCCTGGTAGCTCAGATGGTAAAGCGTCTGCCTACAATGTGGGAGACCGGGGTTCAATCCCTAGGTCGGGAAGATCCCCTGGAGAAGGAAATGGCAACCCACTCCAGAATTCTTGCTTGGAAAATCCCATGGACTGAGGATCCTGGTAGGCTACAGTGCATGGGGTCGTGAAGAGTCGGACACGACTGAGCGATTTCACTCACTCACTCTTATCAGTAGGCATATTAAATATAAATGGATTGAATGCCTCAGTTAAAAGATAAAAGACTGTCAGGCATAATAAAAAAGAATATGAAGCAAAATGTATGCATTTGAAAGTATTTAAAATAAGTCTAATTTTCATAATTAATTTTAAGTCTCAAGGAGTTTTCTAATCAAACAACAGAACTCAGAAAGACATACTGCTCACAAAGGTCTCTAATGTTGAATAGTTTCCTTCATTTTTATAGTATATTATGATGTTCCATAAGGGAACTTAAGGCCAGAACTAACAGTGTTATCAGATCATCACTTTTATTTTTACAATCTTAAACAAGCTAGGGTTTTCTCTATAATTTTGGGACTGGAAATTCCTCCTTAAGCCTAACTAAAATACTCACCTTAACCTTGTCAATTATACTAATAAAACGCAAAAGAGATAAAGAGATAAGAGATAAAGAAGAGGCCCAAAAGGCACTCAATATCCCTTTTATACAGAGTAGTGTGGGTGTGTATTAAGGTATTTCCAAGTAACTTTTCAAAAGGTGCCTACTCATAGCCTTTCTTTTAATTCAAGTAGAGAGAGAGGATACTCTGATTATGTTAAAGGCATCTCCTTCAAGCCACTGATACCTCTTGTGGACAGAGCAGAAGGAAGGAAGACGGCAGTTACCTGGTTACCTACAGCCGAAATCTGTTTGCTTGTAAAGAACCATTTGGGTCTAGGCAGAGAGTATGACTCTTGGGAGAAAGATCTGTACTTATATCTAATTATGTCTATTAGTAAGTGTGTGCACACATGTGCTGTTAAAAATGCATATTTCTTCTATTAGCCTACAAGGGAAAATAATCTGAAAAATAACATATATGTGTATGTACGTATAACTGGAAAAAAAAAAAAAGCATATTCCTGGGCTCCCCCCAAGACTTATTGAAAAGACTCTTCAGGATGGGATTACACTGTATTTACTGATAATATTCTTCACTAAGACTTATTATTTATAAAATCATGAATATCATAATGAAACTCAATCTAGAGTGACCAAAGTTTGTAAATGTAAAATAAACTTACTTTTGCTATGGAAACTTGATTCACTCTCAAAAAGGTACACCCTAAAAAGAGTTCTGCCTTTCTGCCTACAGCAGTACACCTTCACCGAGCCTGCAACACAGACCTCATCACACAGTCTCACCTACATTTTTCTGATGACCCAGAGTAGGAAAGTTGAGGAGGATTAAGTTAAAATAGTCCTTGGGTATGAACCTGAGTGAGGCTAACAAGGATAGTTCATTAACCTGCACTATACGGTAAATCAAGTAACAAACCACCAGAATGGTGGCGTTAGATATGCTCCATTAGTAATTACTTAACCAATCATTACAGAGGACGCTTTAAAGCAACAGGCTTCTGAAACCAGATTTTCCTTTCAAACTGTTCTTCATATTTTAACTGGAGTTTCTACTAAAGAATCATTTTATTTACAGCCACAAAGTTCTTTTTAACACAGTCAATGTGCATTACATGCTGGGATCAAATACCTGAAGGAACTGGAATCTTATGAATACAGCCAGGACAACAATGGAGAGAGTCATGAACAAAAACATCACAGTCCACACAGAACACATTCTGGCACACACTGCAAACATAGACCTGCAATAAAAAGAAGAAAACCTGAATTTAAAAAGTAGTTTCCAAAAGTTAAGTACAGCATAGCTAGAAGACTTGCAAGTTGCTTTGCTCTTTCATATACCTATCACTTTTTCCCCACTCACCTACCTGCTTTATTAGTTCTAATGTACTATATATTCTCAAATCTATGGAAATTAATTCTTTCCAAAAAATTATTCCTTACAAATAAGGGAATAATTTTGTTTCTGAGTCCTTAAAGTCCCTTGAATTATAGGATACTCTCGATTTACTTCATTTTAAGTAATTATTTGGGGAAGACACATGAGCTTGAAATTAGTGCTTCGATAGGTTACTGGAGTGATTCAATTAAAAAGAGAAGCACAAAAGTTTTAACAGAAATTTGTTATACCTAGGGAATTATAAAAGTTTTATTCCTCTTTTAATTAAACCACTAAACAATAAGGCAAAAGACATATATATAAAATATATAAATTATTTTATTCTTATTGTCATATTTACATAATAAATAATAAAAATAAAATAAAGAACAATAATATTCAATCAATATTATATACATAAATACGAGTGCCTTGGGTGAAATTTCCAGGGCAACATCATACACAGATTAAAAAATCATCAAATCTCAAAACAGCACAGAAGTAATGATACTGTATTCTTAAAAACTATCAAATGAGTCAAAAAGTAATTCTAGTGAGAATGCAGCTAATGAAGCCAGAGAGGCCTGTAAAGCTTCATAAATTTTTTTTTTTAATGGTTTTCTTTTGGCCATGCCTCACAGCTTATGGGAATCTCAGTTCCCTGAGCAGGGACTGAAGGTGGGCCAGGGCAATGAGAGCACTGACTACCAACCACCAGACCACCAGAGAATTCCAAATAAAACTGTCTTATGAAATGTTGAGAGTAAAATGAAACAAGCAATCCTTTCTACTAGTATTTTATATAGTTTATATAGTTTTAAATATGGATATTTAACTAAAATAAAACTAAACAGTGACCTCTCTTACTTGCAACTTTATATAAGTTGATATGTTCAAATTGGCCCCTGTTAACATTTTAAAAAAATATTTTCTCAGTGTCTCAATGGGGAGAATATCCTTAAGATCTGTGGCCACCATAAATGGTAACTTCAAAATGAGTTATGAGAGCCTAAAGTAAAATAAAGTAAAAAGTAAAAAATGAGAGCCTAAAGTTAAAAAAAAAAAGAGAGAGAAAACTTTTAGTACTTCCAAACTAAATGCAGTTTAGCTTGCAAACTGAAGACAATGTACTAAAATATCTTTATAGCAAAATTAGAATGCAGAATTGCAAAACAACTGTTTGTAATACCTCCCATTTAATCTCCACTGACTGCTATACTTCTGAGGAATAACGTGATATGAGCTTGGTCTTCAACAATCTATTGAAAACTTATAATACCATTTCCTCAATATTTATTGTACAATACTTAATATTTACAAAGCACATGAACTTACATGTTGGTCTTTCAATTCCCCCTGACAGGCATAACAAAACCTGAAAAAGAAAGTTAAAGAATCATTTTGTTAAGAATTTACTCATTAAAATAGTTCAGGAAAATCTCAGTAACAAGAATTCTCTAATTAGTAAGTACAGTTGGCTCTTGAACATCAAGCAGTTTAGGGCTGTCAACCCCCAAGGTTAAAAATCTGAGTGTAACTTTACAGTTGGCTGTCTGGCCTTCTGACCCTCCACATCTGGAGTTTCACGTTAGAGGATTCAACCAGTTATGGAACACGTAGCACTATAGTATGTATTTACGGAAAAAACCTGAATGTAAGTGGACCCGTGCATTTCAAATCCATGTTGTTCAAGGGTCAACTGTAATTATCTTTAGGCATGACTTTTAGGAGAAATAATTAAGAATACCAGTAATTTAAGAAAATTCCACACTATAACCCAAGGTTATCTGACAGCTTAAAATTTTCCTTAAACTAATTTTATTTTCATCAAGGTTAAATATGAGTATGCTTTCTCAACTGCGATTCTAGAGAAAACAACTTTCATGACTATTTTTCAACTTTCCCCAAAACAGCAGACAGCTGAAGTAAGTCCAGATGAACAGAGAGGTTAATTTATGGCAAAAATGGATGCCTAAGGGCTTAATTTTCAAGGAATGGTTTAAAGAATTAAAAGTTCTCTAACTTAAAAAAGAGCAGTTCCCTCCCTACCCACCCCCCACTTCATTTACAGAGTAAATCCTTTTAAAAATTTGAACTGTTTGACAGTTACCCATGCTCACAGTTCTTGATCTTTTCATAGGCATTGGCTATGAACTTTGCAGTATGCAAGATGAGATCTTAAGTCTCTTTCAACCATCTTGAACCAATACAATATAGTACACACATAGCAAATCCCATCCATTCTCAATTCTTTCTATGTAGCTGAATCATTCCGGATGAAACAATGTTAAATATTTAGTTTATCATCACTGTATAGACATATTCAGCTGAGCCATGCCATACAACTTTTCCTCTCTGTAAAATAATTTTTCCTGGAGTTAAGAACTATGTTATTCATAAGCTTAGTTGTCTAATTACCACTAACTCAGCCCCAACCATTCCCTGAGAAGCCTAAATACCCTATTGTTATGTTTGGCTATATCAAGAATTCTATAGTTTCCATCTTCTGGTGACATCTCTCCTGGAGCATTCTGACCTGTTCCAAACTGGACTGACTGTTCTCCGTGTCTGACAAATAAATGTCATTCTGGGACTTCATCTTCTAAGTCTGCTTTAGCCACTTTTCAATTAGATAAATATTCCTATTCTCTTTCATTCATTCTCATTCTCAATTCCTTTATCTCTTCCACAGCTTCCCAAGAAAGTCTCTTTTTGAGACCTTACAAGTCTGAAAATACCGCTATTCTACCTGTATTTTTTTTGGTCACACCATGCAGCATGTAGGAACTTAGTTCCCTGACCAGAGATCAAACTCATGCTCCCTGCACTAGAAGCATGGAGTGTTAACCACTGGACTGCCAAGGAAGTCCCTACTCGACCTGCATTTAAACAAAAGCTTGGCCGGGTATACGATTTAGTTGGCAATAATTTTCACTCCAAATTTTGAAGGAGATTGCTCCGTGTCAGCATCCAGTGTTGCTCACGAGATGTCAAGCAATGTTTTTTTTTTTTTTTTTGCTGCACCACACAGCATGTGGGATCTTAGTTCCCTGACCAGAGATCAATCCTGCACCCCACTCAGTGGAAGCATGGAGTCTTAACTTCAAGACCATCAGTGAAGTCCCAGAAGCCAAACAATTTTAATTCCAGGCCATGTGACCCCATTCTCCCTCTATAGAAATGTTGAGGGCTAATATTTTGCTGCAGCGTACTCTGAAATTTCACAGTGAAACATGTTAGTACAAGTCTGTTTGCCTTCAATATGTCAAGCACTTGACAGTTCCTTTCAATCCAGAAAATTCTCTTCTTCAATAGTAGAAAATACCCTTGAATATTTCTTTCCTATCTTATATCTTTTCTTTATTTCTTACATTATTTTGATATTAGGCTCCCTGGATAAATCTTCCAGTTTTATACGACAGAAATCAACAAATGCTACAAATCAGGGCTTTTTTTTTCTTTCTGGAGAGCTGATTTACCAACATACCACCACTCCTGCTACATATAGATGGGTTCAGGGAAAGAGATTTCTGGCGATCCAGATCTGTTTAATGAATCATTTTAGTCATAAACAAGGCATTCTACATCTCATTTTCTATATTAGCAATAATCTTGCCCAAGTGAATGACACTTTTTTATGTAGTGTTAATTACAACATATTTGAATATAACTTTACCACTTGAAACAGGTATAAATTGATCAAAACTCATATACCTTTCTCCATTATGTTCTTCCAGAGATATTTCTTGAAAAGCATCCAAAGGAAATAAATGATGGTAAGACCGTGCTAAGTGGGGAGCAGACACCAAAGTAAGACCTAACATACAAAGCAGAAAGACATATTTAGTAACCCAAACCTCACAAAGATGATGGTTGAAATGTCAAATGATATAACTTAGGCTAAATATTTTCAAGTTTGTTTTTTTCTAGGATTGCAGTTATTCATTTCTTCATTTATCAGTGGTCATAAAAGGAGACTCCAAGATGGAGTCTTAGCTCTGTCACTAAGTATGTGATCGCTCTTGGCCCATTTGCTTACTTGTAAATGAAATAAAATTCTACAAATCTATTATTTTAATTCTTCATTCTCCTCATATGTATTTACTTCATGAAGAGCTGCAAAAATGTCAACTAGATCTACTGCACTGCCTTTAAGAACATAGTTTTTCTGGAAAGAGAATCAGGAACCATCCAGAATGCCATGTTTATTCTTAAAAATGAAGTTCCAGGCACACAATGGAAAAAACAGCCTATGTCTCTTTTAACAGATCAAATTCGGAAAGATAAACAGAGCTTAATATTTATATTTAATAGCAATATAGGTAAGAAGTTACCCAAGATTAATTTACTAGATAATGAACTGTTGGTTTCTTACCACAGATTTTACATTCAACAGGAAGCTCACAGTACTTTGCCCGACACTGCGGGCAGAAATAGCCTCCCAATGTAAGTCCTGGCTCAGTGTTGCTATCCAGATGCCTGTTGGGGGGTGGGAGGAGAGGAAGCATTACCTTTTAAAAAGTGATATATAAAGATGTGAGCAGTTGCCGCAAAAGAAGGGATGCCACTGTGATTTTAAAACCTTTAAGTTGTTTCATAGCTCACTTACGCTCTGTTCGCTTTTGTCTTTTTTTTCCTGTGTTTTGTTTTGAATAACTTCTATTAATGTCTTTGAATTCACTCCTCTTCTTTAGTGACTAATCTGCCATTAATCTTTGTGGCTCAGCTGGTAAAGAACCTGCCTGAAATGCACGAGCCCTGAGTTCAATCCCTGGGTTGGGAAGATACTCTGGAGAGGGGAAAGGCTACCCACTCCAGTATTCTGGCCTGGAGAATTTTACGGACTGTATAGGCCATGGAGTCACAAAGAGTTGGACACGACTGAGCGACTTTTACTTCCCTTCACTTCACTACTGTTAATCCTAATCCAGTGTATTTTTCACCTAAGACACTATATTGTTCATCTCTAGAAATGTGATTGGGGTCTTTATTCTATCCTCCCTATCTCTTATCAAATTCATGTACTCCTTAATTTTCCTGAGCACATAAAATACATTTATAATAATTTAAACACCTTGCCTACTAGTTCTATAAACTGTGTTATTTCCGGATATGTTTCCGTTCTAAGATTTTTCTTCTTGTTATGGGTCATACCTTCTTACTTCTTTGCATGACTCGTAATTTTTTTTTAAAACTTTTAATTTTATATCATAGAAGATTAACAATGTTGTGATAGATTCAACTGGACAGCCAAGAGACTCAGCCATGGCTACTTATATGTATCCATTTTCCCCTAAACTCCCCTCCCATCCAGGCTGTCACATAACACTGAGCAGACCTCCTTGTGCTATATACAGTAGGTCCTTGTAGGTTATCCATTCTAAACATAGCAGTGTGTACACGTTGATCCCAAACCTCCTATCTCCTCTCCATCCTTTCCCCTGGCAACCATGAGTTCATTCTCTAAGTTTATGAGGCATGACTGGTAATTTTTGATTGGCAGCCAGATACTGTGAATTTTGCTCTGCTTTCGGTGATGGATTTTTTTTTTTTTTTGTATTGATTTAAATATGTTGTGTTTTCCCCAAAATATACTTAAGCAAATAGTTTGATGACAAAACTTCCTTTTAAGTTTGCTGGCTGTCCAGAACAGCTGCTAGTCTAGGGTAAATTCAGTTTCATTACTGTGGACTCCATTCAATGCCTGTGACATTAAGAGGCCTTTCCTCACTGACTGGTGGGAATAAGCCATTCTCTGCCCACGTGAGCTCTAGGGATTGTTCTGCTGCTCCACTCCAGTGCTTCTTTCTCTGGCCTCCAGGAGTTTCCTGATAGGAATATACACATCAACACTCAGCTAATGATTCAAGGTGGTTGATATTTCTCCCGGCAATCTTGATTCCAGCTTGCAATTCATTCAGTCCAGCATTTCGCATGATGTACTATGCATATCAGTTAAATAAGCAGGATGACAATATACAGCCTTGACATACTCTTTTTTCAATTTTGAACCAATCTGTTGTTTCATGTCTGGTTGTAACTGTTGCTTCTTGACCTGAATACAGATTTCTCAGGAGGCAGGTAAGGTGATATGGTATTCCCATCTCTTTGAGAATTTCCCAGTTTGCTAGATGATCGGTAGCATACTACAGACTTCTCTCTACCTTGTTGTTTTAGCTAGTAATATTAGCTAATATTACAGGAGTATATGTAATTTTCTCTCCTTTTTACAGCTACATAAAAAGTAATTGTCTACAAAAGTCATTACATTTCAAGCCTGTCTTTTTAATTCATAACTTACAGGAAGGAATTAACAATATAAAAACATTATCATAAACAGTTTTAAGGTTTTTACTTACGCCATGCTGAAAGAGGGTTTTGCATCTTGGTCAGACAGAGAAGCAATGGTATGCTGAGGAAATCCTTTATGGAAGAAAATATATTACTTTTTCTCCCCCAAGGAAATAGAATAATTCTAATAATAGAAACCTAAAAATGTTCCTACCAGAAAGCTCACAAAGTTGTGCAAAAGTTCTCTTTCCTGTCTTTTATACATTTATTAGAGCATGGTCAAACTGACAGCAATTTCTGGTTAGAAGAAAAATTAATAGTGGAGGAAAACAGGAGATGTGGAGGACCATATGTCCATATATACAGTCTCAGATTCTAAAGTTTCATATGCATATTCTCTAACTTAACAACACTAATACATAACACATACTACACTTTAAAAAGAAAATGTAATTTTTAAATAATTTTTAAAAAAATTTTTAAGAAATGTAATTTTTAAATAACTTTAAAAAAATTTTAAAGAAATTTTAAAATTTCTGACACAACAGAGGAGTTCATTACATAGTCTACTTTCACTTTATATAAGAACATACTTCTATGTTTAAAATTTTGGAATGTCCAAACCTATGTAGTTTATTTTTTTCATATATATTTTTAATTAATGTAATTAAATAACACAAAATAAACACTTACCCATACGAATAAGTGAGCATTCAGAATTTGAGCTAGCAGGAGGAGGACTAACATGATGTGTTAACAATTCTTTGTAATGGCTTTCATCTAAAATAACATGATACGTGCCTAGCAAGACAAGAAAAAAAGAAAAGAAACATGAGCTTTCCAGACATAAGAATGATCTATAATTTCTATATACTTCCGTAAATGTTTTACCATCTAAAAATGCTCATTTTCAAAATAAATGATTATGTGAAATTACCATTTTTCAAAAAATGTATTTAACATCTTTAAACTGACTTCTTTGAGAATAACTGTAATTTTCAATTTAATTAAAGCCAACTAACAAGATTTTCACTAAGTATTACATAAAGGAAAATTTATAGGTTTCCAGTAGTTATAATGGTTCCTCTAAACACTGACATAACTACTAAAAATTTCTTGCATTTTGGGATGATAAGTTATAGAACTTGGTGATATATTTAATATGACTACCCACATTTTGGACTTTGGGACACAAACTAATTTAAATTTAGCTGCTTAAAAAAAACAATAAAAGTATTCTAACTAATAAATTGTTACTTTTTACATAATAATTATGAGTAAGTATTAAAGATTCTAGATATGTACCACCAGTTTCACGAGCAAGCGCAGTGCATACTCGAACCTCTGCAGACAATCCAATAATAGACACTCTGATTTTAGCCGCCTTTAGGGTCTTCGTAAAATCCAAGTAAATGGAGAGTTTTGAGGGAAGAAAAAAATGAATAATTAATATGCTTGATAGATAGAATGTTCTGAAAACTAGTAATAAATTCAGAGAATTCTAGTAATAAATTTAGAGAGTCTAAAAATTCTCTTTAGAGCTGTAACTGGCTTCGATTATGAAGAAATTATTGGTTCTACCTTGATTAAATCATAGATGTTAGAGGGATCACAGGTTGTGAGGCTGCTAAAGATGATTAGGACTTCTCTACTTGTATGTCCGGGCATATGTCTGAAAAAAGAAAAAAAACCATTCCAGTTAGGTATAATAAATTACATTAATTAAAAAAAACTTAAGACTAGTAAATGTACAAAAAATAAGTACACATGGTTTATACACTTAGACTACAGAACAACCCCATCTGTTTCAACATTACAAAGGAATGAATTTTGAGTATACTCTAAAAACCTTAACACCAGTTTTTCTAAAATTAGCTACACACAAAAATAATTCACTGATTCATTTCCTCATTCAATAAATATTTATTGAATACTCTTTCAAGTTCTAAGAATAAAGTGATAAACAAGAGCAATGAGGTTCCTGGCATCATGCAGCTTACATTCTAATAGGTTTGTTTCATACAAAGTCTAAGTTGTACATTGGAAAGTATGACAATACCATATGGATCAACATTAAGATACATATGTGTGGCCTGAAAATAGTAACATACTTCTTTTTTAAACACTACAATTTAACCTCATGGTGATTGTCATAATACTCATAAACATTAATGACTGTGTACCATTTAGGTGGCACATTGGTAAAGAATTCACCTGCCAAGCAGGAGATTCAAGAGACAGGGGTTTGATCCCTGGGTTGGGAAGATTCCCTGGAGTAGGAAATAACAACCCACTCAGTATTCTTGCCTGAACTGTTCCATGGATAGGGGAGCCTGGTGGGCTACAGTCCACGGAGTTGCAAAGAGTTGGACATGACTGAGCACCACCACCACCACCACCATTTAATTAAATGACGGCTTACAGGATTTTAAGGTATGATGAACTGTTCTCCTCTAAACTAAACAGAGATAGCTACGCTTTTTGGTGCAATGTTATCGATTATTTGTAGCTTTTTCCTGCTTTAATTCTCATTGTTGGGCTCAGTTTTCACTATGGATACTGCTATTGTATCTACCTTCATTGTCTGTGTTACCTCCTCAACTACTTTAAAACTTAAAAAAAGCCTCTTATTTAAAGGAATAAAAATCTGAGTTAGGATAGACTATCTAAGGATAAAATATATAAGCTTTAACTATACTGAATACTTTCTTTGGGGTTTTAGCTATATTCTACATAGTTAAAACTGCTAGAAAAGTGCTATTATTAATTTACAGATGTATTACAAAATAAGTTAATAAAAACCAGTATACAACATACTCAGTTATTATACCATATTAACTTCCACATATAATCAATTTTCAATAAAAAATTTTTTCACAGTATTTCTTTTGCACGAGTAATACTGCTATAGCTTTAATTGTAAGCTTTAATTGTATTTTTCCAAAATCTTTAAGGATATACCTCAGCAACTAAACTGTAAAATCAAAATTATTAACCAACATTATAGTATACACTATAAATAATGTTACATATTTCTCTTAATAACAATTTCATTATAGGTAGGTTTATGGAGATGCATATTAACATTATCATTTCAACTTAACTCATTCAAAACATGTTGAAATAAATTGTAAATAATAAGTGTAAAATACTAACTTTAGAGTCTGCATAGCCATGCTTAAGGAGTTATAAAGAGATGGTTCTCCATGGCAAGTCATATCTACAGCTTTCTTCAAAGATGTTATATGTTTCCGTGGGTTTCCTAAAATATAAATGAAAAATCTTTTAATAAAAATGTATATATACACTATGGAAATTTATCTTTCTCCAAAATTTACATATTTATGATGTTAAACAGAATCCCTTTGATTTACATTTTTAGCAAGATGCACTTTTATCAGAAATGTTATAAAGTCTCACTCATATTGAAAAGCCCAAATACAAATAATCTTTTTGTCTATTAGCAACACATTTTAATAATATTAATCTAGAATGCAAAACTTTTTACTCTTCATATTTCCTATTTCATCATTTTTAATACTAACATATGTTCACATTTAACAGCTCTGAAATCATGATGCATCTTACAACCACTGGCAGCTGGGCAGCTGCTGGTGGCACTGCCTGCTCACGTGAACACTATTGCTATGTTGCCGCTCCAACTGCAACAGGTGCACTGTTTGTGCTGTTCATATTAACTTCTATTTAAAGTGTTCGTTTTTTTTAAGTTTATACAAAAGGTTATATTTTTATGTAGAAAGGCGTGGAACAGAACAGTAGTGCACAAATCTGTTACTAGTGGAAGCAAAAACTCATTGATGGAAGAAGGCCTACAATTCCATGTTTTTCTTCAGAGGGAGAAAACAGCCACCTTCTAAGACCTAAGAAAGGAGGATTTCCACAGATAAAACTGTGTTATGCTGTCATTGAAATAACCTCTGAAGAGACTGTCTAGTTCATGCTAAGCAATATAAATGAAGAGAAGAGACACCACCAAAAATTCAGACCTGTCAAACAACCAAGACACTGGTATGAACAATTCACATGTCATTTGACACTGTGTCAAAGGTCAACTGCTAGAGTGTTTCCTTCTTGAGGGCTCATAAAATAAAGGTATCTTACAAACAATAAAATCTGAGACTCAATAAAATATGGTATTCTTTGGACCTTTCCTCTTATTTCATCACTGTTTTCATATTACTTAACAATAATGAAAACATTGACTTTATCATATAGCAAATTATCTTTATACCACTGAATATTTAAATTAGTTTCAACTTGTCACTATTATACATACTGATGCAAACAGAATATTTGTAGAGTGACACTTTTTCTTCTTTCATAACATTTCCTAAGCATACTCCAAGGAACATTTTTTTTTTCCTTTGGCTGTGCCTCAAGGCTTCAGTTCAGTTCAGTTCAGTTGCTCAGTAGTGTCCGACTCTTTGCGACCCCATGAATCGCAGCACGCCAGGTGTCCCTGTCCATCACCAACTCCCGGAGTCCACCCAAAGCCATGTCCATAGAGTCGGTGATGCCACCCAGCCATCACATCCTCTGTCATCCCCTTCTCCTCCTGCCCCCAATCCCTCCCAGCATCAGGGTCTTTTCCAATGAGTCAACTCTTCACATGAGGTGGCCAAAGTATTGGAGTTTCAGCTTCAGCATCAGTCCTTCCAATGAACACCCAGG